CATCATTTGTTTTTACTTTATAAGACACAGGTCCTGTACATTGAACAATTTGACCTGGTATCCATTTTTCCCTTCTCCCATAATTTCTTAGATACACATTATCATTAACACCAAATTCTCTTTCAATGCATGATTTGTCATGATTTACTTTTTGTGTATGTTGATGTTGGGAAACAGACCTTTGAACAGTTGGATGTAGTAGGTCAAGATGAGTTTTAATTTTCCTACCACATAGCAATTCGCATGGTGCAACATCTGTTGTTATATGAGGAGTTGTGCGGTATTTGGCTAATAACCTGTTTACTCTTTCATTGTCATATTTAGCTTCTTCTGTTTGGTATTTACTTTTGATGTTACCCTTTTAGTTTCTGTAAGTGCTAATGATGTTAGCAAAGTTGTTTGATGATCACATTCCTTCTTATTTAAAGCATTTGAAATTTCCATATCACCATAATCATTTATTAAGTTACAAATACTTTGTTTAGGCAACTCTGACTGATAATGGACTGCATCTTCTCCATCTTTTATATTATCTTCACAAAGGTTTTTATTTCTTATTTAATATGGCCTTAAGTCATCATTCACAGACTCTTCAGGCCAACCATTCTTACAGTATTCATATACTTTTATTAAGCACTCATCTTTTTGTGTTTCTCTTTTAATATCATTCACATTTATATTGGAGTTATCCATGATAGAGAAGAGAACAAATACATCTTCTGGTACATAGCTAAGGCTTTGGTTTTTTAAAGGTAATCTACTAAGACTATCTGCACTATTCTCAGATCCAGGTTTGTATTTCAATTCATAATTGTATGAAGTTAGTGTGATAGCCCATCTTTGAATTCTTGGTGAGGCATGCTCAGGTAGGGTTTTGTTTTCTCCAAATAAACCTAGCAATGGTTTATGATCTGTAAAGATGGTGAACTTCCTACCAAACAGAAACTTATGAAATTTCTTAACACCAAAAATGATGCCTAAGCCTTCCCTATCTAACTGAGAATAATTTTTCTCAGCCTGGTTCAAAGATCTACTGGCAAAAGCAATGGGTCTGTCACCCTTCTCATCCATGTGGGACAAGACTGCTCCTACACCATCTGGTGAAGCATCACATGTTAATACAAGTCTTTTCCCTGGGTCATAGTGAGTTAGTAAGGTGTCAGAAGACAAAGCCTCTTTTGCTGTATTAAAAGCAGTATCTTGTTGTTTACCCCAGTGCCAAGTTGCATTTTTCTGTAGCAGCTTGTACAGTGGTGATAGTTTACCAGACAGATTCCCTATGAACTTTGCATAGTAATTTATCAAGCCCAAAAAAGCTCTTAGTTGTTGGGTATTTTCAGGTTTTGGTGCTTCTTTAATGGCTTTTGTTTTCTCAGGTTGAGGTCTGATGCCTTGTTTGCTCAATATATAACCAAGAAAACTAATTTCTGTCAGCATGAATTGACATTTATCTTTGTTTATCTTTAAACCTTTTTCACCAACTATTTTCAATACTTTATCAAGTGTTTTAAGATGTTCAGTGTCATTCTTACCAGTTATGTACACATTGTCAAAGTACACACAAACATTTGGAATATCCTTAAAAATACTGTCCATGACAGCTTGGAAAATTCCAGGGCTAGATGATATGCCAAAACATAGTCTTTCATATTGGTAGAGACCTTTGTGTGTGTTTATTGTCGTATAGACTTTTGAATCTGGATGCAGTTCTAGTTGAGTGTAAGCATGACTAAAGTCTAATTCAGTGAATTTGTCTCCTCCTGCCAAATTCAAAGAAATTTCCTCAATGTTAGGAATAGGGTACCTATTTAGCTCTATTTGCTTATTCAGTGTAGTTTTATAGTCTCCACAAATTCTTATAGAACCATCCTTCTTTAACACTGGCACAATGGGCGTTGCCCAATCGGAATAGTCTACCTTCTTTATGATGCCATTAGATTCCAATCTACTTAGCTCATTTTCAATTTTATCCCTCATTGAATAAGGTGGAACTCTAGCTTTGCAGTATCTTGGATTTGTGTCTTTAATGCTTATCTTCACTGTTCTATCATTTAGTAATCCAGGATTACCAAAAACACATTTATTTTCAGATATAACTTTATCTAGTGAAGTAAGACTAGATTCTCTTGCTTTGACCACTGAAAATATACTCTCCCAATTTAACTTAAGATCACTTAACCAGTTCCTACCTAGTAATGGTGGTCCATTTCCTTCAACCACAAGAAGAGGAAGTTTAACACTTTGACCATTATAACTTACATGAACCATACACTCTCCTATTACCGGAACATTGTCACCAGTGTATGTTGTTAGACACTTGTGACATGGCTGTAGAGGCACTGATCCTCCTGTGACAGCGTCAAAATCTTTCTTTGTGATGACTGTTAGAGATGCTCCAGTGTCAAGTTGGAAGCTGATGCTCTTACCGTTGATATTAACTTGTACATTGATGCGAGCATGACTTATTGATTTCACAGAGAACAGGTTGAAATCCGGCTGCGAAGCAGTTTGAGCATTTTCACTGGTAGAGTGGTTCATTGGTTGGGTTAGGTAGTCTTGGTGAGAGTTAACATAGTGCTGCCTTTGGTTGCGGTACTGTCTTGACTGGCTAGATTTAGCAACAGACGAAGACTTTGCGAAGCAGGCCTTGGCAATGTGACCTTGCTTACTGCACTTATAACAAGTTGCAGACTTGAACTTGCACCGATGAGATGCATGGGGACCTTTGCATCGATGACATTTTTGATAATTATTACTAGATTTAGATCTAGGCTTTAAACGTGCAGGCTGTTTAGCATAAGTTGGAATGCTCTGATGGGGTTGGTGTTTGTTGACTAACCTGCTGTTTACTGCATGGATCTCTGAAGGCGTTAGAGATTTCACCGCATCGGATGACTGCTGGAATGAAGTCACAAGTTGTATTGCTTTTTCCAATGTTAGATCTGACTCGAGCAGCAACTTTCTTTGAATATCAGGGCTGTTTACACCTGTCACAAACTTTTCACATAGTCTGTCAGACAGCGTGTCTCCGAATTCACAGAATCTACTTAAATGACGTAAAGCAGCAACATATTCTGATATTGACTCGTTTGGTTGACGAGTCCTACCGTCAAATCTAGCTCTACATAGAAATTTTGATGGGGTAGGCGCATGGTGGTCTGTTAGCAATTTGCTCAGCTCGTTAAAGCTCTTGGTAGTTAGACTAGCTGGTGCGCATAAGTCCTTTAGTAGCCTAAATTGTTGAGGCCCTATGACTGTTAACAAAACAGCTCTCTTTTTGGCTTCTATCGTCACGTTGTTTGCTTCAAGGTAAAAGCTTAACCTATCTAGGTAATCATGAATGATTTCATTATTCGAATCAAATTCTTTTATTTGGCCATACAGCGCCATTATTCTAGAAATACTTAGCCAATATGCTCTAGCAAACCTCTTTTTTGCGTAAGTAGGTGCTCTTTCTAGTAGATTATTTATCCTTCGTCGCCAATGTGATAGATTGGAATCACTGACGAGGAGCCACATTGGTTGTTAACAGTAGTTTATTCACACCATGAGGAAAGAGAGAGAGGGCGGAAGTCACGAGAGACTTATATACATAACATGTAAGGGACATCACTCAAGATAACAATATAAATATAATACTAATACAGAAGAGTGAGTTCCCTTGACCTCACAATTATCTCAATCTATTACAAAAACAAGTAAATGCACACACGCATTCGCACCAGTTTAGGAAACATTCCTAAACACATTGACCTAAAACACGTGGTCCGAAAACACACGCCAAGGGTTTAGAAAATACAAAAATACATTTTTAAATCTTTCAGAATAACACACCACGTGCATACCAGACATGCCGATGCTCACTATCTCGTTTTAGACGAAAATGAAAGAAAACGAGAAACATCGGCAGTCGCATTCATACAAATCACATAAAGATCTATATATATAATTCTCTTCTGGGAGCCGTTAGAAAACAAGCTGCAAGCGCCTCCTTGCAGTCCCCTCTCTTTCTCTCTATCACTATCACCCCCACCCCACCCCACCCCCACATTGTCTGGTGAGCTGTGGTCACGCTGTTTACATTTTACAATCATAGAGACGGGTTTGGTGACGGCTATTAGGGGCAGATAATTTAGTTTGAAACGATTTTAAACTTAGAGGAGGTAACTGAGAGGAGGCTGCTTTCACGTGGGGGGGGGGGGGGGGTAGTGTTTTTAAGCAAATATTTTCAGTGGCAGCATTGGTACTGTCGAATTTACAAATTATAAATTACTGAAAAGTAGGAAAAAAAAAAACTAAATAGCGTCGTATGATACGCAGCGGGTCGGCTCGTAAAGTATAAAAAAAACAAATACCTCCACGCGTGAGGTGCGCCACGCGCCCACACAGAAACCGACCCTGTCTAGATCTTGCCTCGGGTTAAAAGAAAGAAAATCATCCGAGCGGTCAATTTATACTGCCCGCTTCGGGCGGAAGGGGGAACCCTGTGGCCGTTCCCCATTGGACCACCATGCACTCACAGATGCGCACCAATTAAATTAATACAAAATAAATAATCCATTCACCCGCTCACATATGTAGGGAAGCCAGCTCTTGTGTTATGTTCAGGTCTTCATCCACACCTCTAATGAACAAAGGAAGTTGAGAAGTGGAACAGCTGTCCAGCAACTCATCCATTGCAATTGAAAAATGGCGTAACTTAGTTGAATTTTTCGCTTTTTGAGTCGCAATGTTCTCACTGCGAGTAATTGTATTTGCACACAAAGCTACATTTTCAAATAGTTTTGAATTTTCTGTGCAAAGCTCCTCAGCCACCTACAACAAACATTTATTCAGTGGACAAAAAGATCGTCACGGGCCGGATAAAATGACCTCGCGGGCCGATGCGGCCCGCGGGCCGTAGTTTGGAGACCCCTGTTCTAGATCAACTTTGAAAATGAAATTATTGAAAACCTTTAAAACGAAAGGAAAACAAAAAGCAACAAAATAGTAAACTTCCGCTGACATGTACTGTTGTGTATTTTAGTTTTTCAATACACTGATTATGACAAAACAGTAGATCTAGATCAGTATTATTATATGATATATTTTATATAATAGATCTACTCACACATCTTAAAAAGAATTTTCAAGCTAAGTAATGAAATGGGCCATACGATTAGAGATAAATTGAAATGAGGAGCAACTTGGCATATGTTTGCAGACAGCTTTTATACAGAATAACAATATCCTGTAGAAAAAGTATGGGCGTGCACACATTATTGCAGAATGCCTCTAATACATTCAACACGTTAAGCAGGTCGGCCATTGACAAATTTCACTTCTCTAGCTAGCTGGGTAAAATTATTATATAACGTCTGTTATTATTCCGGAATTGTACAGCAGTAAAAAACAGTAAAATCATGGCGTAGTCTGTTGGGCTGTTTCCGGAAACCACAGAAAATACAGTAAACCATCATTTAGGCCTAGATCTATTTGCCGCCATATTATTTTTTAATACATAATCTTTAAAACTGTGCATGGATTGATTTCAGTTGTATCTTGGTAAAACCATAGTTAAGTAACTTAAGTAGCTAGGCCAATGCCGCTGCCGAGAAAATCGGACAAATCGGCTTTTCCCTACCCCTTGCATGTTTAACTCTGTTTTTTGCATGCGTTTATTGTGTTTATATTAACATGTTATACATCATTCTGTTCGTAATTGAATAACCTTTTTAACTGTATTAGTTTGATTTCTGTATTATTTCAGATGTTGAAGAAATCTCCGATTAAATCGCATTTTTTACCCTCCGCGGCGACATGCCGATTAGGGTGGAGGCTTTTTCACATTTTTAAAAGGGGGGTGTTACTTGGAGTCTATAGACTGTGAGTTTTCGTACTACAACTGTGAAACTTGGTAGAAAAATAGATTAAATGTACACGTATAACGCTCAGGGTTCTTGGTTAAAATATGTTAAATACTTTCGGAGATATCAGACCGCAAAGTTAAACTAAGTTATTTGAGCTATTTATGGACCGATTTTTTATTTGAACCCTGAGCTGTATTCCTGAAATCACGACGTTTATTAATATGTATCATATGTCCTATAAGGCCCCATAATAAGGACGTCTATAGACTTTGAAGTGGACCGAAAATATAAACATGACGCGCCGACCGCTGTCTGACTGAACCACCCTGCTGTGCTTCGAATCGCCGTCTTTAACCTGATGACGCGTTACAAAATTTGTAAACACGTATCGAGTTTACGTACTACAACAGTTAAATTTGGCAGACGAATACATTAAATGTAGACGTATAACGCTCAGGGTTCGTGATCAAAATAAGTTAAATACTTTTGGAGATATCGGACCGCAAAGTTGAACCAAGTTTCCCGGTCTATTATTGGACATATTTTACATTTGATCCCTGAGCTGTATTCCTGAAATCTCGACGTTTATTTAAATATATAACATTTTATATCACCTCGTAATAAAATAAAAATTAACGAAAATAAAAATTAACGCGTCTACCGCCGTCCGACTAAATCGCTCTGCTGTGGTGATCTACACATCGTGTGGCACAGCCGAGTGTGTGGTCACGTGACGCTAGGCGCTTGATCTGATTGGATGATACTATAAACAATGTCTAAAGATAGATACCTGTGTTCCCGGGTTTGACTCGACGGCTATTGCTACTTTATATTTATAAGCACACAGACTTGTTGCATAACTTTGTCTTAACCCATTGAAACGTCAGACAAAAGTTATGTTAGTATTTACGGCTGAGGACTAATCGTAAAATTTAATCTTCTTTAGAAATTAATCCGAATAGCTTCGGCCCGATCAAACAATGCTGTGATGTGATTCGTGTAACGTTTCATTATACTTTTTCGTAAAAATGGCTTTAAAAATAAATTAAATTATATCCGGGGCTCTTTTCTACAAATTGTAATACCACTAACCACGTGGGGATTGCTAGCTTGCCAAATCGACCAAAATGGGGTGGATGGGGGTAGCCACTGACCATCCTACACCGTATGTAACACCCATAACCTCACTCCGCCCCTACTAGTCTGTGACGCATCAAGCCGACGAGCATCGCTTTTGATGTTGCATAACACTAGTACGGTACGCGGTGGTCTTATACACCACCTCTCTTCCCCTTCACTTTGTGGAGTTGATGTTACTAACCCTCAGGCATAGATCAGGAAATCTTGCCAGACTTTCGTCTCTGAAATTACATAATATTCGTCTGACACGTCCATCGGGTTGGCCGACTAGCCTATCCAACTGTCGTGTTTGGGCAATAAAATTCGTTGGTCAGAAGATCTGGTTACCCACATGTCTGATTGAACTAAATCTAGGCAAAAGCTGGTGGTGGTACACGTGTCTGTGTATAGCCAAACATGGTAATCTTACACAATTTCTAGAATCTGCTAAATCTACACAGTCAAGCACTCAAAAACGTGCTTTTTTCTTAAGAAAGTTTTAAACTGGAAAAGGCCTACTGGTAGGCCTACAAAATACATAAACCTACTTACTACTAGCATAAACATTGGGCATAAGTATAAATTTATGTTATAGACCTATAACTTACACTATACCATGTGCAAGTTTTTAAAAAAATATTTTCCTCCACAGTTTATTTTATTGAAATTGTAAAAATGATTAACTTTAATGTGGGTAATAATATTATGTAATTACCATAAAGCACACTCTGATTCTGATCAGACACATTTGTAACTAGACTAATTCTAAGGCAAAAAGGATTAAGATATTTAAAATAACAAGAAATATAATTATAATGAGATAGGCCTATATTTTTGGAACAGAGTAGGCCTATGGTATTGCACATAGATTACATAACATCTTTTAAGAAGTTACATAATCACAAATTTACTATAGCATTCTTCTCTTTGTATTGAAAAACTTGATTAGTTATATTTTCTTCTAGTAGGCTATTAACTTGAAGTTAACTGACAATGAGCGAAAGTGATTTTAAAACAAATTCATGGTATATTTTGAGCAAAGGGTGGGATTACATAACCTTAACATTTGATAGTTATGTAACAATGTTGGACCATTTTAAATCTACCATTAGCTTCAGCATATACAAATGTCATATTTTAGATTAAAACAGCGTTACATTTAAAGAATGACTTCTTATCACATCTTATGACATTGATTATTAGATGTTTAAAAAAAAATTGAGAGGGGGGTATTACATAATCTATGAGATTAGGAGGTTGAGTAATCGAAGGACACTTTTTAAAATAGCATCATTGGATTCAGCATACAAAAATCTATAAAAGTTTTAAAATTACATCAATTGATAAAGTATTTTGGCTTTTATACCACTTTTAGTGAAAAACGCTTAAAAATTTGGTCCATACCCTCCCAGTATTTTTCCTCTTTCAGGGTCTACCCCGTTTGTCTGAAAAAACTACTGTTTTTTAATGACTAAAAAATTCATAACTTTTTTGTTTATGGTCAGATTTTGAAAATTCAAACTGATCTGTAATCAGATTGACAGCCCTTATCCAAATATGTAACTATTATATTGTTTTACTGAAATTAAATTTTTGCATTGGCCTAGCTAAGTTTAGCGTCATAAATTCAGCCAAAACTAGTAATGTGGGGGAGAGTGACATAATGAATATGTCTTTAAATATGAGCAGGCCTATATTTTTTGTATATTTTAATAAAATATCTCAATATATAATTCTCTTCTTGGATACCCTAGAAAACACCAAGCTGTAAGCGCGCATAGCAGCCCCCTCTCTTCCTCTCTTAGCATATCCCTACCACCCCCACATGGTCTGGTGAGCTGTGTTTCACGCTTAATGTTGACAATCGTAGAGCCGGGTTTAGTGGCGGCTATTAGGGGCAGATAATTTAGTTTGAAACTATTTTAAACTTAGGGGAGGTAACTAAGAGGAGGCTGCTTTCACAGGGGTAGGGGTTGGGGGAAAGGCCTAAAGGAGGGTGGGGGTAGTATCGTCCTTAACGACCTACTGATAGTGTTTTAAAGCAAATATTTTCAGTGGCAGCAATGGTACTGTCAAATTCACAAATTATAAATTACTGAAAAGTAGAAAATAAAATAACTAAATAGCGGCATATGATACCCCGCGTGTCGGCTCGTTATAGATAATTGAGTAATAGATCACCATTTAATTAATTTTTGTCAACCCTGTTTGAGATTGTAAATTTGCTATTAAAAACAGCAGCCATCTTAAGAAAATATTATTAAGAGTAACTTCCCTTTCATTTCTATTTGTATGAAAATGTATTTAAATATGATTGTCTTGTAAATTGTATAGGCCTACAAAGCATTTTTTTTTTAAATTCTGCCCTTCAAAAACTGAATTTACTAGCAATTTACATCAATTTTTGATGTATTGTGATATGCAACTAGTATCCATGTATAGGATCATGTTTTTTGTACTAATGTTTATTTGATCATTACTAGATCTATACAGTTTGAGTTTTTTCTTATTGTTTGAATGTTCGCTATATCATTTCAGGTTTTTTTTTCTTTAATTAGTGATTCTATCGTAAATTATGACAGTTTTTTTTACTTCTCTTTACCTTAATTAAACCCCAACCTCCATCATATTTTTGTTGTCAATGTCACAAAAAGTCATAAAGTAAAAAAATTACGTTTTGCTCTGCCTTTATCTAAGATCTTTAGCCATATTTTTGACAAAAATAAATGTTTTTCATCATTTTTATATACAGAGAGACAAAATGTATTATCCACCAGCTTCCCTTGTAAAACATCATCTAAAAATATCAGCCACTCCACCCCTTAAGTGCATGTTGTCATTATCCCAAGTCTCTACTTTTCAGATACATTTTGGTAATCCTTTGTTGTCAAAATGTCAATATCAAACACCCAAATGAGTGATATGGGGCTCTCCTTAAATGATGTCACATATGATTTGCGACGGGAGTGAGTTAAGATTTGTGACGTCAACTCAGGCGCTCCGCAACTCAGGTGCCCCCTCTTCCCCTGAAGAGATGCCTAGAAGAAACTCTGATGGGTAGTCTAGGTCTATACAGTGGGAGCTTAATACATTTTTTAAAGGGCCAAAAGTCTCAAGACAGCAAGCTTGCAGAAATAACCACGTACATTTAAATGGACGAGTTATGGATGGGTGAGGGGCTGTTTAATTGAACACCAACAAAAATAATCAAATTAAACGTTGCATAAGTGTCAAAAGGGCAGTGCTTTTTCTTTTCTATAAAATTAGCCTAGTGTTACCGGTACAGGGAGTCAAGCGCAAGCCTTAACTCGGTGATGATGTGGTAAGTGTGATGATGTGGTAAGTGGGGGATGAAAAGGTGGGGTTCAAGAAATGCAACTCAGCATGCTTTTTACATTTCTTGACCCTTCTTAATAGTTCTATTAACTGACAAAATGGATCACTAATGAATGACACGTCATACTTCTACCACCCACAACCATCCCCTGTTTAGTTTCACCTAAAAAAACCTGTCCCGTCTAAAAATCACATTGTGATATCTACTCAACTTCTCCCCACCACAAATCACAATTTCTATCTGAATTAATATGTTCATCATTATATTTGAGCGATGTCATTTATTGGCGATATAATATTGATTTGATCACTGCAAAAAAAAGTGTTTAAAAGTTCGACCTCCTAACAATTGTTGTGGTCTTGGATGCACACTATTAAGTCTGAAAAGGTCTATTAGTCATTAATTTCAACTACATTGAAAAAAAAGAAAAATTACTATACAGGCATATTTTAAAATAATACAAAACCATATTAAACCACATAATCAACACAACAGACATGCGAATAGGCAATTTTTCAAGGGAAACGACTCTATTTTTGTTTTTGAAACATGGCCGCTGCTTGTATTTACTCATTGTTGTCTCAAATAGGATAGTTTAAATTTTATTCCAGGATATTTTTGACTGGTTTGCTCATGGAATGTGATTTGTTATTCAATTATCTGTTATATTAAGTAAAATATGTCATAAATTTGCCAAAATGAAAGAAATATTTATTAGTTACCTCCACCACACATTACTAGTTTTGTTGGAATTTACGACGCTTTAACTAAGGTTTTACCTGCATTTCAAATACTGTTAAGCTAATTTTTTATTTCCGGAGGTTTCTGGAATGGCTTGACAGACTACGCCATGGTTTTACTGGGTTTTTTTAACTGCTGTACCATTCCGGAATAATAACCGATGCTATATCATGAGATTACCAGGATTTTTATACCAGTGTACGATAATAATAGGGGTGTAAGGTTACTGGTTATACCCCACTTAAATTTCTTCTTGTTGATGAAGTCATTTTAAAATTTGACATACCCTTACTTGATTACTGAATTAGTCCTAGATCTAGTTATTGTTTTCTTTCCAGTTGTGTTCATTTAGTCAAAGTTAATAAAATAAATGGCTACAAGACTCTACACACTGATTTAACTTTTCACTACCTCATTTGTGTGGCACGAAGATAAAAATTGTTACAGGATAGTGACAAGTGGTAAAAAGCGGCACCAAATTTTCAAAATGGGGAGGGGGGGGGGGGGAGGTGGCAATTTTATGAATAACAATATATATATAAATAGAACGGGTGGGGCATAAAATTGAATCTACTTTAACTGAACTAAACAGTTGCTTTTTAAAATTACAAATGCTATGTTACATAGCATAAGCATTTTATAAAGACCCCTTTCTATTTTAGAAATGTCAAACCTCCTGAAAAACTTCTGGAATTTCAAGTTCACTTTGGTACAGGAAACCCTGTTCTTTAGTTAAAAAATCATCCCTTATATGCAAGAAAATAAAATTATTTTCTAATTTAACTTATTAATATGCCAAATGGACTATTATGTGCCAGAAAATAGGTCCAGTTTTCATCATTCTATTTTTGGGAACAATTTTCCTTAATTTTAAGAGTAACAAACATCAACATAATATACAACTGTTGCTTAAAAGTCAAGGGATTAAAACAGAAAGATGGAGAGCACCAGATAATTGCATAATGTCTCTTTTCAGAAATTATTAACTTGATATCTGTCAACAACTATATTCATCACCTTCTATTAATTGTTTTACAAAAACTCTGGTGTACTTTTTTCTTTGACCTCTTAAGAGTGTCAAACAACAGCAGTGATTCATTTTATCATAACAGTTTCAATCCACTTTTGCATCTTCACATAAGTACTGCTTGCGATCCTTGCTGAAGTTGGTCAAGTTAATTTCACCTGTCCAGGGACATTCCCGCTGTGTTTAAATGTAAACTTTGTGGTGTCTGGCTCTAGTAGTTGTTTCATTAAGCTATGGGTCGGCCAAATCCCTTTTATCTTAGTGGTTTCAAATTTAGTACCTTCTGGGTAATGTAAGTAAACTGTATAATATATATATTTAATGCATCCTGTTGAGCCCATTTTCACTTCTTTTTTTATTTCCCTTTTAGCAGGAAGTTGACAGCTTATTCTTTAGGCTTTTGGTATGCTCTTATAGTTCTTTTTATGTATCTTATAGTCATGAATAGTCTGGAATCCCATATGCTCATGTCCCATTTTGGCAGTTATGATTCAGAGAAAGGTGTAACTTGTTGTTGTGACATAGATTAGAAGTTGTAAAGGTGGTCTCACAATATTCATTGATATCTGTTCATGTGCTTTCTTATGAATTATGGGCAAGTTACTGTTCTGTATGGTTTGTGACCTAGCATTGTAAGATTTTGTGTTGAAACTATTTTTCAGAATCGCCGTTAAGTTTGAAAATATTTAAAAATAGTACCTTTTATGCTTTCAAAAACTTGATACTTTTGTCAACATTGATTATGAATTATGCCTATGTAGAGCTGTTTGAATTAGGCTTGCAGAAGAAATAGTTTCTCAGGAGCTCAATTACATTTAGATGGAACTGAAAGATAATAGTGGACATAACAGGCAGTGAAATTACAGAGGAAATTAATATTTATACACAACTTTCTACTTAAAGCATAAACAAAAATTAATAAAAACATATAATAGCCTGTCGCTTGACCTATCTTTTTTTTACCGTCATCTTGGTAATAATGGCTGCCGAAACCTTCATTGTCAATTCAGAAATATGTACTTAAAATCATTTTTTTTTAATTATTCAATGATAACGATCTAGTATTAACATTGGACAATTAATGTTTGATACAAACTTGCCATTTGTACATTTTTTTGGGTCTAGGCGTTGAGAATATTGATAATAACAGAATAAGATTAAGAGTAAGAAAAACACAAATTGCTGTATTTATTTAATATTGTTTTGATTTTACTCAGAAATGCTATAAAATATAGATAATTATATATTACGTCCTACTAAACTAATTTTACAAAACCATAAAAAAATAACTTGATCGAGACAACAGCTTCCTAAGCCCGCCTATTTAGCCCACACTGCATTTGAATGGGGAGAAATTTAGCAGATGACACATTCCGCTGAACGGCAGTGAATGGTCAATGGCGTTACAACAACACTCTTTAAAAACTAACCCACCATATCACTGAGTATCAGTCATATCATCGTATCCTATTAAAAACAACAGCGTTTTTTCACAAATCATTTTCTAGGCTACCGATTAAATTTGATAAAAAAAATTGGTATCAAATTAAAGGTAAATAAATGTAGTTTTTAATTGTTTAAGTCAACTTGAACAATAATGAAGTTTAAAATCTTATTCCACACCCTACATAGAATTACAAGTTTTAATTTTTGCACTAAATAGAAAAACTTAAAATTATTGATGTAAACAAAGCATGAAAATGTTTACTAAATAATATTGTGCTAATGGAATATATTTAACTTCTATATTCTTTTTAAATAAATCTTGCTACTTTATTTTTTATATTGCTTTTGTAAGCTTTAGACTTCTACAAAATACATTTGTAACCAAGGATTTAGATTTCATCCCAAAATTGGTGATCTACCCATTTTATTGTATGATTTGTCTTAAAATGTGTTAACCTGATCTTCTCATAAAATAATCAATCTTACAGTAAAACATAGCTAATTGTGTATCTCTGAGCAATTTAGCTTGTGGTGTTGAATCCTATTAATAAATTTAAAGAGTATGTTAAGGAAGAGTTACATTTATGCCCTTTTAAATTCAAGTAATTGTTAAAATTAACTACTGATTATAAGATGTTTTAAAATGGTTTTAATTGAAAAAAAAAGGCTTTTGTGATGAAATATTTTTCCAATCTCATGCCTTACATCATTTGATTTAGTTTATTGTGTCTTAGAAATTTAGTTCACCAAATAAGCTTTGGAAATTTTTTACAAGCTGTAAGGTTAAAGATAGGGATAATGTGGTTGGGAGGTTATTTTTATTATGTGTTCAGTAATGAACATGTTATATATTCTAGTTCGGGGATCAATCCTTCTATAACCTGACATAGTGTGAAAAATTAAAACACATGTCCAATTCGAAATGTAATATAGTCTATTTTAATATACACCTATCAAAATCGTCCTCCCACTATACTGTACTACACTACTGCTGTTTCAATTATCTCCTAACAAAACTCAATCCCTACTTTAACTATAACTGATTTCTACACATGACTGTTTGACTATGCTATTCCTATCCAACTGCTAACTAACACTTGACTTCTCCCAACACGCTCCAATGATCAACTGCTATCTATCTCCCAACAGATGCTTCAGTGGTCAGCTGACTGTCTCATGTGAATGGTCAGTTTGTTCCCTTACACTTCTATTGGTTCTGCTAGACCAATGTCTAGCTGACCTATGTAATGCTACCTCTCGCTTATCTATGAACTATATACTATATTTAAATAGATAGGGTGTGCATCAAAGGGTTAAACAACTTAAGGTTAAGAGAAAAAATAATAAACAACACCCTGGTTTATTTCTCCCTCAATGGGCATATAGGCCTAATCTATGGATTACAAAGATAGGGATATAGCTTGGGTTCAGGTTGAGGTTCAAGTTAAAACAAGCTACATTAAATGCTTTCAGTTTTAAAAGTTGAAATACATTAGAAATATTATGATTTAGGCCTAAATTTTGATTTGTTTTATTTTTAAATATTTTTGTCATGAGAAAAATAAGTAACAAAAAAAACAGTATTGCTTTATTAATAATCACCTTCACAATAATGAGTTTTTTACTAATGTTTAAAAAATATTTTGACAGATCTAGGAAGCTGCTGATTTTATTGATCTTTTTTCTTGGATTTCTGTATCTTGTGCCTTATATTTTTCGATTACAAAGATCATCATCAGTAGAAATAGGTGAGTTAACATGTTAAAAAACCATAATCCATTTTTCTAAAGTAGTGATTTATAAAATTGATTGGAAATAGAAATATTAATTAAACTTAAGCAGAAGTTAATAAAATGTATTAAACTATACAGATCCTAATGAAGAATGCTTAGCACAAACATTGGTGGAGTTTCAGTCAAAAATTGATGAACTAAATGCCTTTTCATCCGGGGATTTTGATGAAATACCATTCAGTCAGAAGCTAGCTTATGTTGGTAGGTGATTAAATTTAGTTTTACATATATTTAAAAAACGCGACGTAGCATACGCTGCTATCTAGTTGTTTTATTTTCTACTTATCAGTAATTACATAATTTGTGAATTCAACACTACCCCACCCCCCTGTCTCCCCCTACCCCACCCCGCCCAGTGAAAGCAGCCGTTTACAGACGAACGACAATGAAAATATCAAGCAGAACTTATTATCTCCCCTTAGTTTAAAATCGTTTAAAAACTAAATTATCTGCCCCTAATAGTGGTCACTTATTCTAACCGGCTCTACTATTGTAAACATTTGGGGTGAACCATAGCTCACCTGACAGATAGGGATGATGGTGGTGGCTAAGCTGCGTGGTGTTTCGTATGGTCCCCATGAAGAGAATTATATATATAGATATTACATAACATATTAAAATCTCTGCAGATTTAGTCCTTTTGCAAAATAAAGAAAGTAACCTTTGAACCTTACTGTCCATGTAGTAGGTGAAGTGGAGTTCATCTGTTTCAGTGACCATGGCATATGAAGAGATAGTGTGATCAGCAACATTCCCAGCCGCCTTTACTTTCCCTTATATGAGTCAGGTACCCATCAAAGCTGTGTATATTAAGGGACATCCTACATACTCCATATATATATATATATATATATATATATATATATATATATATATATATATATATATATATATATATATATATATATATATATACTAGCGTACCCGACCCCCGCGCGTTGCCGCTGGGATAGAAGAAAGTTTGACGAAATATATTAGGATTTCACCAACGCTTTATCAATTATAATTATATGTTCTTAGACGCGTGACCTACTTTTCTAAAACCTTGAGTGTACAATAATTAATATGGTAGAACACACTTCGGTGAGCGCCTCTGTGTAAGAGCGTAGAGGGGCGCTCTCATGCCCCCCCCCCCCCCAATTACACTACCGCATAGGCGCGGCGTACTACCCCTGGCTCCTTAAAACTAACAGGCGCCATCGGCCAAATAGCACCCTGTTAATAAAGATGCAGATTTCGTCATTCGCTAAAGTGACACAAATGATCAGGATTTTTTTCTTTAACACGTAAAAAAATTATTTGACGTGTTTTAAATATCAGTGTGACTGATGCAATATGCTAGCGTTACTAATGGTCTATTATTAGATGCTCGATCTCAATTTCTGACTGGATCGTCTAATAATAGATGCTTATTGCATCATTCTCAAAGTGACGAAACTCAACAGTAGGCTCCTCATATTCAAAAAGTTATTTTTTCATGTTTCGCAAGTTGACGAAACTGTACAGAAGGATTTCCTCGCGTTACAAAATTATTTTTAGAAGCCTGTTGTAGTTTTACCGCTGAATATAGCAGTACTCCTTACTCGCAATGCAGGACGCTCGATTAACAGATGTCAAGTGCCAACATAGTCGCTCTAAAACTCTGGGCGCCAAACCGTGTATTGACGAAAGTTGTACCCTATATGGCGCCGCCCATAAGAAACTTTACTTTTCTTTTTCGCAGAAATATTCTCGGGAGTATTCTCATCTACTCCCTAAAGTTTCATGGTACTCGGATGAACCGAATCCGAGTTTTATTTTTTATAATCGGACCCTCCCGTGGCGCCGCCCTTGCGAAATTAAAAATGATTTTTTTTACAGAACCCTTCCCTAGAGTGGTATGATGAACTCCCCAAAGTCTCATGGCTATCGGATGAACGATGCCAAACCAAAATCGACTTTTATTTTTAAATACCGTATATAGAGAAAAACAAATCGCGCCCTGCCGGGGCGCCACCCCTGCGAATTTGAAATATTTTTTATCGCAGAAACCTCCCCAGGAATATTCTCAACAACTTCCTAAGGTTTCATGCCTATCGGATGAACGGTGTCACTGCAATTCACTTTTATTATTTTTATATACCGTATATAGAGAAAAATCGGACCCTCCCGTGGCGCCGCCCTTGCGAAATTAAAAATGATTTTTTTACAGAACCCTTCCCTAGAGTGGTATGATGAACTCCCCAAAGTCTCATGGCTATCGGATGAATGATGCCAAACCAAAATCGACTTTTATTTTTATATACCGTATATAGAGAAAAACAAATCGCGCCCTGCCGGGGTGCCACCCCTGCGAATTTGAAATATTTTTTATCGCAGAAACCTCCCCAGGAATATTTTCAACAACTTCCTAAAGTTTCATGGTGATCGTGTGAACGGTGTCACTGCAATTCACTTTTATTTTTATATACGGTATATAGAGAAAAATAAATCGCGCTCTACCGGGGCGCCACCCCTGCGAATTTGAAATATTTTTTTTCGCAGAAACCTCCCCAGGAATATTCTCAACAACTTCCCAAAGTTTCACGGCGATGTGATAAGAGGTGTAGTAATGCATAAAGGACAGACACACACACACACACACACAGACATACATTGCTTTTTATATATATAGATAGATATATACATTTTGTGAAAAATTGAATGAACTGGGTCAGTATTGGGCTAAAGGATTGATCTAGCAAACATTCATAGAGCTATGCATAAAAGGAAAAACTCTTGTATATTGATTTAAATTGATCTCCTGTTATAATTGGCTAATTTTGAAGCAACCTGGGGTCCCTTGTGAGCAGTATGGCACCTACATTAGTTTTAAAGAGCACCCTACAATAAGGACATGATGCCACACAACATTAGTTGATTAAACATAACCTGGGGCAGTACCCAACAGCCTTGCGGTAATGTAACTGGTGTCTCTCAAGAGTGTCCAGTGATACCCCTGAGACATGGGCGGTCACTAAGGGGTGTCTACCTCTCTATTACAGAGTGTGAGCAAGGTATACTTAATAATAACGAAGACCTGAGAAACATTGGCATTGTTAACATTTAAATAATTCAGTTTTAGAAAACTCTCAAAACACATGATTGGCAAAGCATTAATCAAATCCTTTTAAAATATTGGACCAGCTAGCATCCATGTGCAGGACAGATATGCTAGTAATATATAACTAGTTTTTAAAGGAAATAACCACAAAAAACAGCTACTGGGTTGCTGTTTTTTTTAACATATACTGTTACAATGTCTCATAATGTCATATTAGCCTACTATTTCAACATTCTGTTCATTTGGAAACAGTGAAATAATAATAACACTGTCTTTTTACTTAGAGTAGGTGGTATGTAAAGAAAAGTGTTGGTTGGGAATATGTAAAAATGCTATGTCACTGTGTTCTAATTGGCATAACAAAATAACAATACATCAATATGTACTTGTATTTTTGTAGTTAATGTTTTATTCTTTGCTATTTAATATAGGCAACGGGAATGTCGCTGCTGCTTTAGGTTCTGACAATGGTTTGTATATCAGACTCTACCGAGCATTATCACAACCAGTCAAGTTTTGGCCATTGGTACAAACTCATTTGGATGGAAAAATAAAAGGCTAGCTATAACTATAACTTTAAATAATACTATTCATTTGATTTTTTTAAAAATGTTGAGACACTAAAACTAATTTTTTACTATTTTAGAGGTGACAGTTCTTGACATAAGATCAGGAGTGGCACATAAAATCCAGGTCAAGTCTACGGTAATTTTGAAAAATTTCACTTGTATCTAAGTAGTGTATAGTTACAAAATACATATGTAAGGTTTGTTAAGGGTTTTGCGACCATCGCGCAACCCCTTAACCAAGTGGTTTCCAATACTAACGAACAATTTGGCAAACAAAACAAATGCCATTACATAACCCACCTGTGGGGCCCAGAACAACAAACAGCCTTTGCCAAGCTTAAGACTGCCTTAACCACTATGCCAGCTTTGGGTTACCCAGATTTTACCCGACCCTTTATTTTAGAATGCCAGCAGCTATGGCCTGGGGACCGTCTTAAGTCAGAAACAGACAGATGGAGTGAAGGTGATTGCCTTCGCCAGCCGGTCACTCCACATGAATGAAAAGAACATGAAGAACTATAGTGCTCTAAAACTAGAACTTTTAGCTTTAAGGTGGGCCATGGCTGAAAAGTTCAGAGGATATTTGTTAAGCAGTTAGACATTGGTGCTGACTGATAATAACCCCACTTGTGCTACCAATTTGTAAGCCCTGACGGGGGGGGGGGGGGGGGGTTAACTATATCTACGTCCCTAGGCTTATATAAATTATCAGGTCAGTACAAGTCTGGCTGAACCCAGACTGGTTAAAATCCTAATAAAAAACTGTTAAATGTTAAAATAAATGTTTGCACTAATTGAAAAAAAATCATTAGTATCAAAACCCTTATAAATGAAATTGTTTTAGTATGATGGACAACACATTTGTAAATTAAATTTTTACTTTATTGTAACATGACATTTATTCTATATTATAAATGTGGTGAGGGAGAGTATATTTCACTATAATGTGTATATATGCAGTGTGTGAATTCAATACTAGTCCAACTCCAATTTAATGATATTCAAGTTTATTTACTATATACACATTCATATATCATACTCTTATCCAATACACTTCTGCTATCCAACCATCTACAATAACTTTCTACTACTTAATGATCTTCTCAATCTCTACTCTACCAACTTCTAACAACTATACCCAACTGCTTTCTAACACTCAAATTTCTCCTAAATGCTCGGCTAACCAACTCCCCTATCTTTTACCATCTGGCTAACTCTGAACAGCTGCTAGCTATCTATGCTTGGTCAGCTGATCATCACACATGACCAGTCAGTTTGTTCCACTGCAATTCTATTGGTACTGCTTGACTGAAGTCTAGCTGACCTCTTGCCTATCTTTGACGTATTTTTTAATCTTTCCAAAGTTTGCATCATCAAAATTAATATTCCTCAGACAACTGGATGTATCATCATAAGGTCACAAGTATATGCACACAGGTCAAGACCTGCTCTTCTTGTACAAGATATTCACATTCAGAATCCTTCAGTAAGAATTCATGTACATATTACATGCTACAACTATTTAACCTTTTATTTTACTAGATTGGTTTTATGAAGTTGTTTGGTTTTTGTATTCTTGAAAAGTGTGATTTGACACAGTGTATTGACAGTAATATTGTTTTTGAGTAGTTTTTACTTTCTCGTATATACGAAGTATAGAGAAAGTATAGAGAAAGTCTTGTAAAAAAAAAAATCGAGATTTTTACAAATCTCGACACTTTACACCTCACTAATACGGAAAAACATAATTTTGCAATTTTGTCTGTGTGTCTGTCTGTCTGTGTGTAAACACGATAACTTGAGTACCGTTACAGCTAGGTTGATGAAATTTCATATATAAGTATTTTATCAAAATCGTAGATCCGTATCAACTTTTGAGCGATTTCTGATAACCGGAAGTGGTACTTTTTCTACTTTGAATTTTTCAAAAGCCTATAATTTGAGTACTATTTCGGATAGATAAATGAAATTTCACATGTAAGTAAAAGATCTAATTCTCTAATTCTGTTAAATTTTGAGTAATTTCCGTTGACCGGAAGTACTAATTTACACTACTTCCGATTTCTCAAAAAAACATGTAAATTTATAAAGTACTAATAATATTGCGCACTATTATGCACTTTTTTATTTGGCGTTCACTTGGTGTGCAATTCTTTTGTCTACGAGATTTTATTCTATTTTTAAAATTTTAAGTATTTAAAATGAATTAAAAATCATGTCTATAGCCTGAGTTCCCATCCCCTGTTGTTTTATGTAAGAATATTTGAGAAAGTTTAGGGGAGATCACTCCCGGTTTATTTTATATTCTGAGTCTGAAAATAATCAGCACGTCAAGCCTTGTAAAGGATCCTTGGTATTCTATACTTAAGTAGAAATAAATAAGAGTTGTGTTTGCGTGTTTATTTTTTTCCACTGTTTTGCCACTTGTTTTTGTTTTACATTTCTCATTCTATTTTAATACAGAGACAAGCTTTAGCTGTAGAGTTGGATCAAATAGGAGCTTCAGGTTGGGAAAATGTAAAAGTTGAATCAGCAAGGTTAGCCAATAAGCAAATTATGAATTTTCAGCAGTGTTAGTATCTCAAAAGTAAATAAGTACTTGTTGAAAACAACTGATAATATATGATGTTTTAAAAAAAATTAAAAACATAATTTTATGTCTCAGCTTTACAACAAACTCAGGTGAAAATGTAATGTATAAAATATACTCTGGTCTGGTGCCTGTAACAAAGTCTCCTATGATGATACCTGTAGCCATAGCTACTGTAACTATGGAATCAAGCATGGTTAAAGTTTCTCATTCAAGGTAATTGATTCCTAGAAAAAAATAAACTATTTTTAAAATGTTAAAAAAGTAAATTTAAAAAAATGTCTGTTTTATTCATGATTATCATCAAGATCTCTTATATTAACCCTTTGAGCCCGGCAGGCTGGAAAACCGGCATCAAAATTAGGCATATATGTCCGAAAAGCCAGTTTTACGGCCCGATGATCTAGTGTCATAGTCCTTGGGGGTGGTATACCGCCTTATTAAATAAAATTAGCGGAATACTGAATAAAACAGCGCATGTCTTTTTAGTGGGTTATTTTTATTATTCTGTTATAATTATTATTATAATAACAATAAATAATAAGTTACTCTAGTTTTGTCATTATGTTTAGTAAGTAATATAAAACAATTATCAGTATATAAATATTTTATTAGTGCAAAATTTTGTTGTACAAATATTTTTTTTAGCAATGCCGCCGAAACGAAAAACTGATCCAAAGCCATTGACTGTGTTCTTTTTAAATCATTGTTATGTTCATACAAAAAAAAAAAACAAAAAAAAAACAAAGAATTTCCGAATCATGATGAATTTTTGTTTGATACCAAATTCGGCTTGATTATCTCAAATGATTCAAAATTTGTAGGCTTTTGAAGAAATCCAAGATGGCTGTCATCTGCCATCTTGGATTTGTAAAAAAACAAAGAATTTCTGAATCTTGCTGAATAGTTGTTTGATACCGAGACTTGATATCAAATGTGACTTAATTATCTCAAATGGTTCAAAAGTTATAGGCAAAGTTAGAAGCAGATAAGTGAAAATTGGTTTGAGCCTGGGAGCTCAGGAAATGGGAGAAATTAGGCCATGGAGCCCCGGGCTCAAAGGGTTAAGTACGCTCATGGCAGGAACAAACAAGTTTTATAGTTCAGTTAAAGAAATAAATACATAGCTACATATTAAACAAGTTTAACAGTTGAGTTCTTATTATTTATTTCTTAAGTATATATCTATTATCAAAACTATAACTCCGTTTATTGATTAAACTTCCATGTCATTTTTAGTTTTGTCAGTTGAACTAAACCCCCCTTCACTATGCAGTAGTCTAATTTTTTTCTGATTGCTCAGTTCAAATATTTTTGTCTTTTGAAAATCAATGGCAACTTATTTCTATGAAATTTTTAGAATTGCTGAATATTTTAATCTGCTAAATTTAAAAGAGCCCATGATAATAATTTTTGTTGCCAGTGACAACAATTATATAGGTAGAACTTAAAGTAGATAATGTCGCCAGGTTCATGGATGATTTTTCTTTTTAGTGATGATTTTAAACAAAATAATACATGGTATGTAGCTGGAAATTTATATTACTATGAAATAGATGATTTTAAGTGTTAGTTTGTTCTTTAATTCAAAGTTTTTTGTGAATAATTTCAACTTTAACACGGCTAAATGTTATTTTAATGGTTCATCCAACATACACATGGAAAACATGGGGGGGGGGGGGGGGGGTACCAAGATGGATATTACTGTTGTAACAATGTGCATATAAATTGAAGGACCATGCTCATGTGCAGATGTATTTGCACTTTGCATGCTGCTAAGAAATATACCCTTATTAGAGCCCTAAAAAAAGTATACTTGCTTGAACAAAATTTTTTTTATTCCTCTCATTTGTACTTATACTTAAAAAATTACATCGACCTTTAGGTGGTTATTGCTTACAAATTTTTACAAGGTATAGGCACATATGTAAATATTTTAGTTGTTAGAACGACTATTTAGATACTAAGGGTAAGAAAGAAAGACTAGTAAAAATAAACCAGGAGTGATCTCCCCTAAACTTTCTCGAATATCTATCTATCTATATATATAAAAAGCAATGTATGTTTGTGTGTGTGTCTGTCCTTTATGCATTACTACACCTCTCATCACATTGCCGTGAAATTTTGGCAAGTTGTTGAGAATATTCCTGGGGAGGTTTCTGCGAGAAAAAAAAATTTCAAATTCGCAAGGGTGGCGCCCCGACAGGGCGCAATTTGTTTTTCTCTATATACGGTATATAAAAATAAAAGTCGATTTTGGTTTGGCATCGTTCATCCGATAGCCATGAGACTTTGGGGAGTTCATCATACCACTCTAGGGAAGGGTTCTGTAAAAAAAATCATTTTTAATTTCGCAAGGGCGGCGCCACGGGAGGGTCCGATTTTTCTCTATATACGGTATATAAAAATAATAAAAGTGAATTGCAGTGACACCGTTCACACGATCACCATGAAACTTTAGGAAGTTGTTGAAAATATTCCTGGGGAGGTTTCTGCGATAAAAAATATTTCAAATTCGCAGGGGTGGCGCCCCGGCAGGGCGCGATTTGTTTTTCTCTATATACGGTATATAAAAATAAAAGTCGATTTTGGTTTGGCATCGTTCATCCGATAGCCATAAGACTTTGGGGAGTTCATCATACCACTCTAGGGAAGGGTTCTGTAAAAAAATAATTTTTAATTTTGCAAGGGCGGCGCCACGGGAGGGTGCGATTTTTCTCTATATACGGTATATTTTTTTAAAAGTCGATTTTGGTGTGACACCGTTATCCGATAGCCATGAGACTTTGGGGGAGTTGATTAGAACAATTCAGGGAAGGGTTCTGTAAAAAAAATCCTTTTTTAATTTCGCAAGGGCTGCGCCACGGGAGGCTGCAATTTTTCTATATATATGGTTTATAAAAATAAAAGTCTATTTCGGTTTCACATCGTTCATCCGTGTACCATGAAACTTTGGGGAGATGATTAGATCACTCAATGGTAGGGTTCTGCAAAAAAATATTGTTTAATATTGCAAGGTCGGCGCCCCCAGGGGGGGGGAGCGATTTTTTTTCTCCACACATGGTATATAAAAAATAAAACTCGGATGCGGTTCATCCGAGTGCCATGAAACTTTCTTATGGGCGGCGCCATATAGGGTACAACTTTCGTCAATACACGGTTTGACGCCCAGAGTTTTAGAGCGACTATGTTGGCACTTGGCATCCGTTAATCGAGCGTCCTGCATAGCGAGTAAGGAGTACTACTATATTCAGCGGTAAAACTACAACAGGCTTCTAAAAATAACTTTGTAACGCGAGGAAATCCTTCTGTACAGTTTCGTCACCTTGCGAAAGATGAAAAAATAACTTTTTGAATATAAGGAGCCTACTGTAGCGTTTCGTCACTTTGCGAATGATGCAATAAGCATCTATTATTAGACGATCCAGTCAGAAATTGAGATCGAGCATCTAATAATAGACCATTAGTAACGCTAGCATATTGCATCAGTCACACTGATGTTTAAAACACGTCAAATAATTTTTTTACGTGTTAAAGAAAAAATCCTGTTGATTTGTGTCACTTTAGCGAATGACGAAATCTGCATCATTGTTCACAGGATGCTATTTGGCATGATGGCGCCTGTTTTAAGGCGCCACTCTATGACCTTGACACATGGGTGGTCACCGAAGTGTGTTCTACCTCATTATTTCGGTGATTGATTAATGTACACTCAAGGTTTTCATGCTGTAGTGTAGGTAAACCCGTGTCAAATATTTATGATCCAAGCGTATGCATTGTTTACATTTAAACAACTCACTTTTAGAAAACAAGGTCACGAGTCTAAGAATATAGTATTGGTAACGCATGGATGAAACCCTTCTTATATATTTCGTCGGATTTTCTTATATTCCCGCTGCAACGCGCGGGGATGGGTACGCTAGTTCTAATATAAAACTACGAGGGATGGCAACTCAGGACATTAATCTATACTAATAGTTTCGCTGTCTGTGTATGTATCTATCTATCTGACAAGAACGCTCTGTCTGACAAGAACGCTCTAGAGAAAACATAAGAAAAAATTCTATCTGACAAGAACGCTCTAGAGAAAACACAAGCAAAATAAAAACTCTCACAGTGAAACGAAAGACGAAGTATGACGTCGACACATTTAGCATAGAGTAGAAAATAATCTCAAACCCAGAGAGTGCTCACAGTTATATGACGTCATTGATTTTCGCGTAAACATTGAATAAAAAGGAAATGTTGTCTAATCTAAATGGTTTGCGTGAAGAGTTTCTTGCATACAATTCTTCGGGTAGGGGCGAAGCCCCACCCCACGCGTAAGAACGTCTGACCCCCCCCCCCCTCCCCAACTCAAAAGAAATTTCTTCATCGATACTCTATAATAAAATTACCGCCTAATTAATGTGTCTAATCTAAAAAGTGGTTTTCTTGCAATTTCTTTAATGCAATTCTTCGGGTAGTGGCTAAGCGCGACACCAGTGTTTCTTTCAGACTTTTTCCTCCCCGGAGAGGGGTGGGGGTACTTGGAATTTTCGGGGGCGGGTGTAGAATTTTCGGGGAGGGGGCGGACACTGGAAAAATTATATAATTATATTTCGTTGAATGGGACGGTAGACATGTTTTTTTTAGAGGGGGTGGGTGGGGGGTGGGGGGGGGGGTGGTGGTGTGGGGTGGGGTGAGTGGGTTTAATTTAGACTTTTTCCTCCCCGGAGAGGGGTGGGGGTACTTGAAATTTTCGGGGGCGGGTGTAGAATTTTCTGGGAGGGGGCGGACACTGGAAAAAGTATATAATTATATTTCGTTGAATGGGACGGTAGACATGTTTTTTAGGGGGGGGTGGGTGGGGTGTGGGGGGGGGGGTGGGGTGAGTGGGGGGTTTAATTTAGACTTTTTCCTCCCCGGAGAGGGGTGGGGGTACTTGAAATTTTCGGGGGCGGGTGTAGAATTTTCTGGGAGGGGGCGGACACTGGAAAAAGTATATAATTATATTTCGTTGAATGGGACGGTAGACATGTTTTTTGGGGGGTGGGGGTGGGGGGTGGGGGTGGGGGGGGTGGTGTGTTTTGGGGGGGGGGGGGTGGGGGGTGGGTTGGTTTTAGTTTAGAGAAAAGAGACAGCACTATCAACCTAGCGCCCGGTGTATCCTTCCTCAACGGGCCATTTTTCTCGTCTATAATAATAGTTTCGCTGTCTGTCTGTCTATCTGACAAGAACGCTCTGTCTGACAAGAACGCTCTGTCTGACAAGAACGCTCTAGAGAAAACACAAGCAAAATAAAAACATGCACAGTAATTCGAAAAACGAAATATGACGTCGACACATTTAGCATAGAGTAGAACATAATCTCAAACCAGAGAGTGCACACAGTAATATGACGTCATTGATTCTCGCGTAAACATTGAAAAAAAGGAAATTTTGTCTAATCTAAATGGTTTGCGTGAAGAGTTTCTTGCATATAATTCTTCGGGTAGGGGCGAAGCCCCACCCCCCGCGTAAGAACGTCTGAGCCCCCCCCCCCCCCCTCCCCAACTCAAAAGAAATTTCTTCATCGATACTCTATAATAAAATTACCGCCTAATTAATGTGTCTAATCTAAAAAGTGGTTTTCTTGCAATTTCTTTAATGCAATTCTTCGGGTAGTGGCTAAGCGCGACACCAGTGTTCCTTTCAGACATTTTTTTCTCCCCGGAGAGGGGTGGGGGTAATTGAAATTTTCGGGGGCGGGGGTAGAATTTTCGGGGAGGGGGGGCGGACACTGGAAAAAGTATATAATTATATTTCGTTGAATGGGACGGTAGACATGTTTTTTTTGGGAGTGGGGGGTGAGGGTGGGGGTGGGGGTGGGGGGTGGGTGGGGTGGGGTGGTTTCCTCATCGATACTCTATAATAAAATTACCGCCTAATTAATGTGCTTATCTAAAAAGTGGTTTTCTCGCAATTTCTTTAATGCAATTCTTCGCGTAGTGGCTAAGCGCGACACCAGTGTTTCTTTCAGACTTTTTCCTCCCCGGAGAGGGATGGGGGTACTTGAAATTTTCGGGGGCGGGGGTAGAATTTTCTGGGAGGGGGCGGACACTGGAAAAAGTATATAATTATATTTCGTTGAATGGGACGGTAGACATGTTTTTTTTTTGGGGTGGGGGGTGGTGGGGGGGTGGTGTGTGTGGGGGGTGTGGGGGGGTGGTGTGTGGGGGGTGGGTTGGTTTCAGTGTTTCTTTCAGACTTTTTCCTCCCCGGAGAGGGGTGGGGGGTACTTAAAATTTTCGGGGGCGGGGTAGAATTTTCTGGGAGGGGGCGGACACTGGAAAAAGTATATAATTATATTTCGTTGAATGGGACGGTAGACATGTTTTTTTTTTTGGGGGGGGGGTGGGGGGGCGGTGTGTGGAGGGGGTGGTGTGTGGGGGTGAGGGGTGGGGGTGGTGTGTGGTGGGGGGTGGGGGTGGGGTGGGGGTGGTGTGTGTGGGGGGGGGGTGGGTTGGTTTTAGTTTAGAGAAAAGAGACAGCACTATCAGCCTAGCGCCCGTTGTACCCTTCCTCAACGGGCCATTTTTCTCGTAGACAATATTTGTAATCCATTTTTAATTACTTAAACTTTTTATAATAGAATAGAATCTTGTTAAAAAAAAGAATTGCACACCAAGTGAACACCTAATAAAATGTGCATAATAGTGCGGGATATTATTAGTAAATTATAAATTTCCATGCGTTTTTTGATAAATCAGAAATAGTGTAAATTAGTACTTCCGGTCAACGGAAATTACTCAAAATTTGAGTAATATACAGGGGGTCGGAGTGGTCGAGTTCATGGTTGCTAAACCAAAAAGTCTCGAGTTCGAACCCTCGGGCAGATGATGCTCGTTAGCTGGGGACAGCCACTCTTCTAGGAGAGACAACTCCAAAATTAAACAACTGCTGCCTTGTAGTTTGTTCTAGGTTGGACAAAGGCTATGGAAGCAAATCCAAAAAGAAAAGCAGGCTGAAATAGGAGTCAATGGCCTCAATGGCGCATAACAATGACACGTAACGCTTAATTGTGTTGGAGGCGTGGTCGAGTCGGCAAAAAGCTCATGGTTGATAAATTTGAACAAAGTCTCGAGTTCAAACCCACTGGCAGATAAATCTCGATTCTCGAGTTCAAACCCACTGGCAGATAAATCTCGATCCCCTTCAACACTAATAATTAGAACGAAGAAGAAGAAGAAGAGTAATATACAAGAAAGTAAAAATAAGCATGGTTATCTATTTAACCTATGTAACTGTATATGAATAATAAGCATGTGTATTTTGGTGTAGCCCTACCACAATGCAACATTTGTAGAACCAGTTATGTTATAAATACATTTTATTTAGAAAGAGTACACTGACTGAGGTATTCTAAATATAAATTTTCTCTATTTTTTGTAATTTATTAAAAAAACGTATTTATGACAGATCGTGAGCACCTGCACTCTTCTGATTATATGTGTGCTTCAAACGTACATTTTATTGGCATATAGGTTACTTGAATTCAAAGAACACTTGTTCCCCCACATTTTTATATAACTATCATGTAAAAAAGTTTTGATGTTTTAGAATTTTGGTTATTGAAAAAAGTTAAAAACCAAAATTTTAAAACATCGTAATTTTTTTACTACTTGAGATATCTGAATGAATTTGGTATTTTTTTTAAAATTAAGTTTTCATTTTTTTTTCTTTCATTTCTGAAAAATATTTTTTTTTCCTTTTACATTTAACATTTAATTTTTTTTAGTACAAGCAGTTTTCATATAATTACATCTGTGCATTATTCAAGACCTCAAACTTCAGAGGAAGCCTTTAAATATATTGCAGATAGCATTCATCAAGCCAAAGGGGTATGATATACAAGACTATTATTTTTTAACAATTAAATAAATTAATTTTGGGGGTTTCTGATTAAAACATTAAAATTATTAAACCAAGTACTTCCAAAACCATAAGCCAAAAAGTATTAATTGTGATTATCCACTAGGAGCTGGAGATAGGGTTAAATATGAATGAAAAACAGCTGAAGCTAGAACACACTCGAGTTTGGGATAAGGTGAGTTAAAAAGTAAATATAAATCTGTTTCTAGAGCTTGTTATGTGTCATTTATTTTATTCCTGTTACACCACGTTTACACTTAAGACGTATGTATACCATACTTGTCTAGAACACAAAGACCACCAAGAGTTAACTTTATCTGGAACCATTTCTTCGCGGAACATGTATACTCTAGCATTCACACTTTCAGAACATTCTAGAAAACAAACATGACCTTTGACCTGGAGCATCTGCTGTATAGGCCTATCTAGATAATTAAAAGAAAGTAATCCACGTTAAAAAAATTAGATGGTGGGCATCCTTCTTTATTGTTTTAAAGCTTCTATAATTCAAAATGAATTTATATCTGAAAATGAGAGGATATGTAAGATTTTAGAAATTTTATTGGAGTGTTATAAACTGAACTTAAAATAATGTTACACATGCTATAGTGTCTAAGTCTAAAACATTACCCACCTGCTATTACCCTCTTCAACAACACCACACACATGCACAAACCTTGGACACATCCCTATTTCTCCAGCTTGCTGTCACTTAACAATACTTAGTAACTGGAGAAGTGTTTAGTTTACTGATGTATTTTCAGATTTCCAAATTAAAAACTTAAACATGTTAAAACAGGTTGGACATTTAATTAAAGAAATAATTAGTAAAGTATACATATAAGTAGGTCAAGCATAGTATACATGTCTTTAGTGTAAACTTGGTGATAAAAAAATTGTTATACAGAGAGTGTTTTTATTGACTGAAAAATGTGCAAAAACTGGTTAAAAAAATGTTTATTTTTAAATGTCTAAGAGATCATTTTTAGATGTTAAGTTTTGTATTTACCAATATTTGTTTTTCAGCTCTGGTTTAGTGGTTTTTCTATAAGCCATTCCTTAGCAAGTGGAGCAGTAAATGGTGATCGTATCAACAAAACCATATATTATGTTCTTAGTAATGCACCAGCTCCTCTCCACAATGTTAGGTCAACACAAGATGACAAACTTGCCATTGAAAAGATTTTATACTACCCTGATAGGTGTTATGAGGGTCATTCAACTCTGTAAGTTTTCATTAACAAATATCCAAACTAATACTTTTTATTTAATGTGATGTTGAGTTTGTTTATGAAACTTTGAAAAGTGACTTTCAGTGAAACTTGTTCATGTTGTTTATCTTTCTCATTTAATGCAATAATTTTATTTAAGTTGGCAAAAATAGGTATTTTCACTTTTAATTATGCCAGAAGTAACATTTTGATGAAAAAAGTATTTACTATGATTTGTACATAATTAGTACATAATTTATGTCTTAGTATGCAAACTATTTTTGAATATTGTCAGTAAGGACATTACATACTTTTAATCATTTTATCATTCTTGATTAAAAGATAGCTAAACAATGTCCCAGTAGAAACTGTATCATAAAAGTTAATTAGTTGATATTTTTCCTAGCGGGGCAGATACTTTATGGATTAATCCAGAAGATGAATCTCAAATAGCAAGGGTAGTAACCACATGGATGATCACTCTAGAAAAACAAGGCTGTAGTGTAATAGCACAGTCAGGTCTGTACAGTGAATATAGATTATTTATAGTGTAGTCAGAAATTAATATTTTCTTGTTTTTTCCGTTGATCTCTTTAGCATAAGTTACAAATTAAAATTTTTGTAGCATAAAAAAATAGTAATAAAGTTCTAATTACAATTTAATTTAATGCAATAATATAAGTTAACTAGCTTCATATGCTAAATTAAATTAGTATTACACAAAATGTTATAAGTACCTCAAAAATGGCTAAATACTTAGCCACAGGTTGTTAATAGAATATTTCTGATTTAACTACTTAATAGGCCTATCCTTTTTTTTATTCTAGTCTGTTTTTATCAATTTTTTTTCCATTAAATTAGTGAATCAATTGACCTCATAATAAAATAAACCGGGAGTGATCTCCCCTAAACTTTCTTGCATATTCTTATATAACTTGGAATATAAAGATGATTTTTAATTACTTAAATTTTTTAAAATAGAATAGAATCTCATAGAAAAAGAATTACTTTATAAATTTACATGCGTTTTTTTTTTAGAAATCGGAAATAGCGTAAATTAGTACTTCCGGTCAACGGAAATTACTTAAAATTTGACAGAAGGTAGAGAATTAGATCTTTTACTTATGTGTGAAATTTCATTTATCTATCTGAAATAGTACTCAAGTTATAGGCTTTTGAAAAATTCAAAGTAGAAAAAGTACCACCTCCGCTTATCGGAAATCGCTCAAAAGTTGATCAGGATCTACAATTTTGATAAGATACTTATATATACTTATATATAAAATTTCTCAACCTAGCTATAACGGTACTCACATTATCATGTTTACACACAGACAGACAGACATACGGACAAGATTGCAAAATTATGTTTTTCCGTATTAGTGAGGTGTAAAATGTCGAGATTTCTAAAAATCTCGATTTTTGTGTGTGCGCGATTTCAAGACTTTCTCTATACTTTGTATATACAAGAAAGTAAAACAGTTCATGGGAAGGGGAGGGGTGTAAATCTTAGCAGATCCCATAGAAGCAATTTATTCTTTTGAACAGAGATCTCTCTTTTTTTCTTCTGTATTCTTAATTTTAGTGTTGGAAAAGATCCCCTCCAACACAATTAAGTATACGTGTCAACTGGTTAGGCGCCATTGAGGCCATTGACTCCGATTTCAGCCTGCTTTTCTTTTTGGATTTACTTCCATAGCCTTTGTCCAACAAAGAACAAACTACAATGCAGCAGTTGTTTGATTTGTTCTCTCTCCTAGAGGCTGTCTCCAGCTAACGAGCCTTATCTGCTCAAAGGTTTGAACTGGAGACTTTTTGGTTCGCAACCATGAGCTTTACCGACTTGACCATGTCAATCCCTGTCTTTCCTCAATTTTTTTTACAACGAGCAAAAGTTGCAAAAGCTGCTGCTTGAAAAATGTTAACATAAAGTTCTTTATACTAGTCTATTTAAATTTTAAATTAAGTCATGGACAAGTTGGAACTTTTAAATAATGTTTAAAGTACTAAACTAAATAATTATAATTAGCCATGTAAATGCTGCAACTATAGTAAAAATTGGTTTATATATATATTACTAATAATGTTTTAAATATATTTAAAGTGAAAGCCTAAATTTTGAACATTTTTAAAGGGAAAGGCAGTGGTTTTTTTTTTAAAAGAATAAATATAGAAATATGCTATAAGCTGATATATTGTGTAAAGTTTAACATAATTATAAATAAGTATATGCTTCTGTGACACTCCTGTGTAATTATGTTGTTGATATTATGAATTTTTTTGAGTGAGTGTGGTTAACCTACTTTTGTAATGTTATGTAAATGTTAAGTGCTATTAATTTTTAGTTTTTTTGAATTCCTGAAAGTAAACGTTTGGGAATTGCATCTGTTTTCCACCTTAAACTAAACTAACAAAACTAAATATTTTTTTTGTTACATATCTTACTTAATTGATTAAAAAGAACAATACAATGTAAAGAAATATTGCAAACTTTGAACCCCCGTAACTCTTATTTATTTTAGGATCTGAGGGAATTTTACAAGCAATGATTTTGAGTCTCGGACCTTTACATTTTCATAACCAGCATTTAGAGATGACGTCCCATCCTAGTGACCTTCATCGTGATCTTCATTTCCGTCGCATTAATTATGGGAACAACACTCATGTAAACATTTCAGTGGTGGTTGGTGAAGACAACAAGGCCACTCTTTTTGTAGCTCTAGATCGAAATGACAAACCATATTATGGTTGTGATGCTGGTTGCTTAGATCCACCAGTTCCATTAAGGTAAAGCTTTGTTGTGGTTTTTTAAGATGTTAAGATGTGTAGATTTTACTTTCACGGTACATTGTAAGAGCCTTGTTTATGTCATATCTGCAATCCATTGCATGTATTTTACAGGGGAAAACAAGAAGATATATATTAAACAAAAAGTATTGATGACTTCTTTTCCCACTTTATTCCTTTGTGGCCCAAGGGCAGCTAAGGGCTGCAGTCACACCTCTCCATCAGACTTGGGTTTGAGCGGCTCTCTTTATATGCATCCATGTTAGCTCTTCTTCTATTGTTTTTCTCCAGGATTTCCTTGGCCAGCCACTTTTTTCTTCCCCAAAGGGTTCCAGTGTAATGCTTTTCTTTGCTATGTTGTCCTCTCCTCTTCTTAGGGTAAGCCCAATCCAACCCCATTTGTTGGCTTTATTAGTAATCCTGATTGTGTGCTGCCACAGGTCTTTGTTGGATATTTTGTCTGGCCATCGTATGTTGAGGATCTGTTTTAAACATTGTTTTGGTAAACCTCCGAACCATAAAGCAATACTGCTTTAACATAGATGACTATTGTGGTATTAAACTACCACACAAACATCCAGTGGCATAGCTAGGATTTTCGGGGCCTGATGCAAAAATTATCAGTGGGCCCCTTCATCAGCCGTTAGGCTACAACAGACTTTAACATGGGCAGCAAAGAAATCGACTCCTGTTTACAATGGAGGGTTTTAAGTAATATAAATATTCTGTACATCCTGATTGTAAATTTATACAATATTATTCTTGGCCTACTACTGCAACTACACATAGTTTTATAAAAGTGTTACTTGTTTACAGTTAATTTGTTTTTTTTTAAAGTAACCAAACACAGTAACACATTTGCATCACAAGGCGTGGCAGAGGTGCTGCCCACATTGGATGACAACATTAAGGCGTGACACCAAAACATTGTACAATATATTGTCAAAACTAAGTTGTATCCTGCTAAAATAATAAAAGATTAGTGAGCGAGGGGATGTTGGGGGCTATGGAGTGACACCTTTAGTAAACTTGTAAGGTAACAACTTACCTTGTGACATCACTAACCAAACAATTTTAAAAAAAAAAAGACTCATGATTTACTGAGATCTGATTTTTATGCTTTATATTTTGCTAAATGATTAATAAGTTCCTTGAGATCCATTTTAGTCGCTTCTGTATGTTCAATACTTAGGATGCCCAAGTTACTGACCCAATTGGCATATCTGCAATTTTTTTCATAACAAATTAACATCAACATAAAGAGCAAATAATGAGATTTTAAAATTTCCATCATAAACATCAAAATCTCCTTCCCGATTACTGTGGAATGATAAAGAATGACAATGTTTATATGTAACTAGTGTACCCGTCTGTGTTGCTGCTATCTAGTCATCTAGTTTCATATACCAGGGCAACCAAACAATTTGTAAGGGTTTTATCAATGCTTTACCAACTGTTTATTTTTAGTCATGTGACCTTCTTTTCTAAACTGAGATAGTTCAAGTGTAAACAACGCTCCTGATATTTTTTCGGATCTTTGTTGCTGGGGCACGGGTTTATCCACACAACCTCTCAGACACCCTTGGGCATGCTGTATGAAAGCATTTAGCGTACGTTAATCATCCTCCGTAATAGTAAGGTATAATACGTTTCTGCGTCGCCCAGGTGTCAGGGGCATTGTGGGAGTTATTGGTTTCACTAGCAATTTTCACTGTGCAATTTGACAGCTGAATCAAGTAGTAAAGCTGACCCGCTGCGTCGCACACTCAATCAACGGACCCCAGGTGCAAAGATAGGCGCTAGGAAATTCTGAGTGGCAAGCCGCACTGCCTTACTGCATGGGCACCGCCCTACGAAAAAAAAATTTAATGTCAGAAACCTTCCCAAGAGACAGTTTCCTTCAGGCACCTTTCAGAAAAATGTCTGTGAAAAAAAAAACAATGCCTAGAGTATTCTCAATGACCACCCAAACTTACTTGGCGATTGTATGGACAGACTGTTGGGAGGTGCAGGTCTGTACAGTGGGGAATTTTCCAGTCAGTTGAGTGAGGGTTGTACAGATGTGTGTAACTTTACGGGTGCCGGATGCCTATCTCACAAAAGAGTCAAAGTTCAAGTTTATAGGCTAATTCTCTCAAAGCCTTAGTGTCATTATTACAGATGGGCCTTCTTTGACACCCCCCCCCCCCATGTAAAAGTTTTAATTTTCTTAAAGAGCTAAAAGGGCTCCTATTTTCTTTGGGCCCCTATGTCCTGCTTATGCTAGCTTTACGGTAGTTACCCAATGCATACATCTGTTCTATCTGGCATTCATAAAAGGTGATCCATTATTGACATCACTCATCATTGAATTGCAAGTTGCAGATGTTAGTTTTTAAAATTATAATCACTGTCTTAGAATGGCTTAACAAGATCCACTTACAAAAGCCCAAAACAATCAGAACGTTTACCATTATGTGTTGTTTATATATATATACATCTTCAAGGTAGATAAATCATAAACCAATGCTAAATAAAATGCCTAGGGCTGAAATTTATAGCTCAAAATAGGTCTATTACACCACAGCATATGGTGAATGTTAAACTACATATTTGGATATAAAAAAAACAACAAATATATTTTCAGCAATGAAAAACATCAATTTCCAGTGAAACTAACTGATCCAGCAACTTCAGTACTGTACATTACAGCTGATAAACAACACATGGAGGAGCTTAAACATGCCATACATGTGAAAGAAATCAATGAAGGTAAAGCATGGGTATTATACAGTGTTGTACATTTTTCATGTTTGTGGTTTTTGAATTGGAATTTTATATGGTTGTATACACACCACTTATATTAGTTACCAAATTATTTATTGTTGAATAACTATTTTTCAGCTCCTGCACATGATCATCATGTGATAGCACTACATAAACATGGACACCATTTTGGTGGTCTCCCTACAATATTCTGGGTGGCTATAGCATTCCTTATTATTATTTTTCATCTTTTTCTTTTTAAACTAATATATAATGAATACTGTTATGGTCAAGACAAATTCTCAAGGTCTCGGTATAACTTGTAGCTCATGTATGAAACTTGTAATTGTGAAATATTGACTGCTATTCACTTAATTTACATTTTCATATTAAACAGCATTAATAGGTTTAATTTTTTAAGGACTTTAATCATTTTCATCAAAATCTGTTGTTAAATTTATTATGCTAATAATTATGATTAATTTAATGGAGGAACTTTTTAGCCTTAATAATACACTTTTGATGTTTATTATTTCTTATGCAAGAATTCCATTTTTCAAAATGTTTTGGTGTTCATGACTTGTTTCAAATGTTGCAATTGATTCCCACATTTAATAATACATTTCTTTATGTTTATTGATTGTGAAGGGATATATATAAAAGCATTCATAATAATGATAGATAAAAACAGCAAGAAATGATTTTAAAATGTGTTCTTAATTAAACAAAATAAATATTTTTTTTTAAATATGAAATTGCCTTTTTAAAATTGTGTTTGATTATTTTAGAACATTAGCCAACGTATTATTAAAGATGTAACATATCTTTTTATTTATTGTAAATTATTTTCAATTTATTTTTAACTAGAGTTTTGTTTCTAAGTATTAATTTGTTTTGTTTTTTTTTGTGTGTGTTCCATGTGTTACCAATCATTTTTACCTTGTTTTACCACAATTTTCTGACAATAGAGCTATTCCACTTTTACTTAATACCATACCCCTCTCTCTTGTTCACACCCTCCCTTCCCCCTCTCAATTATTTCTGATCAGGTGTGTGCTGATTTTTGCTTATTTTCATCACATAGATTAAAATATCTATTTCCTCTTACTATTGTAATATTTTCATTAGTTATTTACTACTGTAACAGATGACTAGTTTACAGTTTTAAATTTGTCATTACAAGTTAATAAATGTATTGATTTCTCTTATCATAAAGACTTTTTCATTCACTGGTTCAGTTATTCTTACTTAATGCCAGGGTAAAGATATCCCCATGTGTAAGATGTCTTTTTGCCAGAGTTATTATTTAATAGGTTAATCTTTTACGTTTCTTATCTCCACTTCCATAGTTCAAAATGAATGTGATGGTAGAACTTAACATTGCTCACCTAAAATCTCACATTTTGATCCCAGTCTGGAGTCTAGATTTTAGAACATCCCTGAGTCCATCCAGCTCTGATTAGTACCTGACATAGTTAAGGCTGATCACACAATCCATCCATATGCCAAACTCCCCACAACAGGTGACTTCTATTTCATCTGCCCCTTGCATTGCCAGGTTTGAAAGAGGAAGTTAGTTTTAAAGCCAAGCTTATAATAATGAAGAAATTCTATATAATTTTCAACCTTTCATTACTTTGATAAATATATTTCCTATCTGCATTCTAGCTGACTGAATGGGTAGGGTGTTCCTTAAAACTAACTTAGGCACCATAATGTACGACTCTAAAACCCAATTTGCTCACTGTTTAAAACTAACACAGTTGCCATAGCTCACGGGGTGCCAAATCACATCCTACCAGGGACTGCCAGTGCGAAAATGAATTTTGTTTCCCCAGAAACCTTCTCGGGAGTATTCTCATCAACTCCCCAAAGTTTCATAGCACTCGGATGAAACGGTGTCAAACCGCATCCGACTTTTATTTTTATGTACTGTACTGTACTGTATATAGAGAAAAATAGCACCCTTGCGAAAGTTAAAAAAAATTTTTTTTTGCAGAACCCCCTCCCCCCCCTTGATTGTTCTCATCAGTGTTGTGAATGTATTTTAGTGTACTGAATGGGTATGAGAGTATGTGTGTATTGGAATGTTTTGTATTAATAAAAGATGTTGAATGTGACGAGGCAAGTCAGGATGTGACTTGGGAAGAGTATGGTTTTGTTGTAAGGTAAAAGAGAGTTGAAATCAGTGTTCGTCATGTTGTGTTAGGGTGTTGATGTCTTTGTCTGTTGTCGTCGATATAGCCGTGTCCGTTGTATATTAAACAATGCAATTAAATTATTGAAATGAATCAACGCCGTCCTGTCTTATTTATATTGGATCGTCGTCTTCTGTGTACATTGTCTTCAACTGTCAACCCTGTCCTCATCTTGTAACAATCAGCTCCCAAATGTTTCATGGCGATCGGATGAACAATGTCAAACCGCAATCTTTTATTTTTAAATGCCATATATAAAGAAGAATCTAACCGCTCCCTGCCGGGGCACCACCCCTGCATATTTGAAAATTTTTTTTTCGCAGAAACCTCAACAACTTTCCAAAGTTTCGAGGCGATCTAAAGAAAAGGTGTAGTGATGCATAAAAAATAGACACACACACATACATTGCTTTTTATATTATATATAGATTAGATTTTTAAAAGTGTTTGCCCAAGCTTTCACTATTCAAAACTAAATGTGTAGTTAAATTGCTTGCTGCATTATTAAGTGATTTAAATTCTTTACACATTTTGATTCACCCTCTGTATTTTTTTCTTTGTCATCATACTTTATGTTGATGGTTTTTAAACTTTTAAATAATGCACCTTCCTGAAAGATCAAAAAACTTTTACACCCTCCCCTAAGAGTATTTATATCTATTTAATTTATATGAATGGCTACAGAACCAGCCTGTTCTAACGTATTTTTAAAGAATGTTTACAAGGCTTTAAATTGTTTTGTTTTCCTTTATATTTCTATGGTAAGCTCTTGACAAAGTGGAATTTAGTAATAATGGTCAGAGATATAGACCATATTTTTTTTTTGCCATGATGCTTTTGTATGTAGATTTAGAAGATGTATTATTGTGTTTATGATTATTGGCATTACTAATTGGGATATTAAAATGGAATGTCTAGGTTTTAGTTTTAGTCTTATTTGGGTTTTTTATATTCTAAAATAACCTGTTAGTTACAACTGTTGGAGGTGTATCTGTAGATACACTTGCAATTTTATTTAGGGGCTAGTTACCACCCATCTCTGATTGGTATATACATAAGATTCAAAATGTAGGTTAACCACTATCATTCAGCTGAAAACTTTTTTTTTAACATCTCAATGCAGTGAGGGCTTATAAACCAGGAAATGCACAATATCAACAATATAAACACACAGAAGTGTCACCAAAGCATAAACATACTTATAACTATGTTAAACTTTAACTATTTCTATACATTTCTAATTATTCTTGATAACGAAACCGACAGCCCTCCCTTTACAATTTTTTCAAAATTTAAGTTTTTAGAAACATTAAGGGTGCAAAAAATATACATATAAATATAGATATATATACCAATACATGACCACATCATTGTGACAAATACTAGAGCAAAATTATGAAAGGAACAGCCTAGCGGTAGAGAGCTACACTGCTAACCCGAGAGTTCCGAGTTCAAATCCGGGTTCAAATCAGTGGAATGTCACGGAGTCCACTCAGCTCTGATGGGTACCTAACTTACTTTAGGGAAACAAAGGCGGCTGGGCATAGTGATGACCAAACTATCCCTTCATATGCCGAGGTCAATGAATCAGATGAACTCTACTTCATCTGCCCCATGTATCTTGGGCATGAACAGGATTAAGAAGAGAAGAAGACGAATTATGGCAGAAAACAGATCCGTTTCCCAAACGTCTACTTTTAGAGTCAATTTTCAAAGTAACAAGTACTGACATATATTTTACTTGGTGCACACCAGTGCTCCGCCACGGTAAATCTTTTTTAAATGTACCAACTTGGAAACAGAACAAAACTAAACACAATACAAACACAACACAAACGTTCACAGTCTAGCCCAGGGGTTTCCAAACTTTTCAGCCCGAGGGCCGCATTAAATATAGAAAATCAGTTCGGGGGCCAGAGTTTTTTCCAGGCATCTCTTCGGGGTGGTAGAGTCCCCGCCCCCGAAGAATGGCTACCTCCCCTCTTTCTTCCCCCCCCCCCCCCCCCCACGAAATATAATTTATATAGACATATATACAAATTTCAAGTGTCGTCGTCCACCCCTCCCCCCGGAGAACAAATACTGAAAGAAACACTCTCAGAAGGCCTTTAGGTGGGTGTATAGATCAGAAACTAGATTTCCCTCTCTTGTAGTTTTAGGTTCAGGAAATTTAAATGACATGTTATGTTTGCAGCAGAGGCCAGTTTCTATACTTTTCGTCAGACATTAATGGCAGCGGCTTGCTTTATTTTCCATAATGTCACCTATTTCCTTTCTTAACTTAAATACCCTGCTCAGAACTTTCTCACAAGTTAATCATCTTATTGGTAAATCTTGCGATTCTGTGTTTGTATCTTTCAACATGTCTCTGAACTATATGTGGTTGAGCCCATGTGACAATGTGACCTTATTAATTCACCATCTTCAACACAGGATTCGCTACACTGCGTATGTCCATATATTAAGCACACAGTGCAGGAACATTGGTTGTAGAATGTTTTTCTCATTACACATCTGATTGTCCAATCAAGCCTTTCTTTATGCCACTCATGTTCTTTCCTCCATCAACAGTCAGGTAACTGAGGTTAGTCCAGTCCAAGTTATAAATCAGCAAATTTTTTTAAACTCATTGAATATATCCTCTCCGGTAACAGTGTCATAAAGGCCAGCTCTTGTGTTATGTTCATGTCTTCATCCATATCTCTAATAAACACAAGCAGTTGAGAGGTGGAACCGCTGTCCAGCGACTCATCCATTGCAATTGAAAAATGGCGAAACTTGCTTACATTTTTAGCAATTTAAGTCACAGTGTTTATACCAATGTCTGCAACATGGTAGGCAACGGTAGTTGCACACTAAGCTAGATTTTCAAATTGTTATGAATTTTCTGGACAAAGTTCCTCAGCCACCTCCAACAAAAAAAAAAATTTCCGTGGACAAAAAGATATCCGCGGGCCGGATGAGAAGATCTTGCGGGCCGCAGTTTGGAGACCCCTAGTCTAGCCCATGGTGCTAAATCACACCATGTCCGAGCACCGGCGGACGCGCCTGATTCAGTGAATGACTATAAAACCCCCAGCTTGTAAGCAAATCGAAAGATAGAATAATAATTAGTAAACAGTACGTTCAGTGTATAAAATGAATAAAAGGCAGTATTTAAAATATCTGTTTTACTTACCATATTGCACTTTATCAATTCATGCATTTTATTTTCAGTACTTTAAATATTAAAAATTTACAATAAAGCTTCATGACTAAAACCATTGCGCTACTAATGAACATGAAGACGCGTGTATCTCATCACGCACCATCACAAAATTACGGACCCCCCCCCACTCTCCCCCTAAGAGTATGACCTCATTTATGACCCTTGCCCAGAGTTTCTTTCTGGCATCTCCTGGGGGGGGGGGGGGAGACTCCTTCCCTGAAGAAGTCTACAAACCATCAGGGTTCTTAGCAGTGTCTTAACCATCTTAACCTTTTTGGACTATTTGGAGTTACTAAACCCCACCAATTTCACATCACCCTTCTTAACAGTTTTATCTGACAAAATCCGATCGAAGATCATTTTAGTGGGGAAGTTGTCTTTCTCTCCGCCAAACCCCTGAGACAGATTCACCAAATCCTGGGGTTTGATCAAGCCCAGGTTAAGAACCACTGCTCTAAATTTCCCGTTTTTTTTTTTCTTTTTCCTTTCGGCTTGCTAAGGAGTCAACTAACTTGACTTTTACAAAGATCACTCCTTGATAAACAATATTCAAACAAGTTTAAAAGCTATGATACTGATTGTAAAAAAAAAACGTAAGCCTGAAAATAATCATAAATTTTTCACAAAAAATTTACTGTTTGTATTAGGAAATAAGGTGGTCAGCTTTTACCCCTTTAACGGTTTCCACTTGAGGCGACACGCTTTTTGGGGTTCCCCTGAGCATTGGTCTACAGCCTCACAAAATATCAAGGATGTTGACGTTAAAAGGTGGTCAAATAATGTAGTTTGAAGTATATAGCGTTTTAAGTTAACTCTTATTATAAGTTGCAATTTAGCGGCCCCCATGTAGCCTGGGTACAGAAGGGAAACGATAAATTTGCAATTTGGTAAAAACGTAATAAATTATAATAAAGGTGATGTTTGATTTATTTGTTACTCACACCTATTAGATCGGGTACTTGCAGGTAAGTTGCAGGACATTGTTCTTGCCAAAGTTTTCTGTTAACTCTTTTTTACCGGGAAAATTAGTCATCTCAATATTTGAGTTTAAACTTACCAAAAATTGACATGGAGTGACCACGGCCTTGTATTCAACTTTTAATTTCCCCAGTTCTTTGATTACATAAAAAAAAGGATAGTTGCTCTTATAGTCTTCTTTTTAAAATGGTTATTAAGTAGTATACTAATTTTGTTAAGAAAGGTATACATTAAAGCAATCGGCCTTCATATCATGTTAATGTTCTGACATCAGGTAAAATTGTATTCCCACCATTATGATCAAACTAACATTAAGAATGCCTTTAAATGAAACTTTAAACGGCCGTTTACAAATAACATTTACCTCGGCTAGTCTAATTTAAACTTAAATGTGATACCACAGTGTAGGTTGTCGTTAGCAGTTTCATCTCTCTGGTACAAGAAAACTGAACATATCACAGCATGGCACTAAGAAAAAGTAGTGTTTGACAGATTTAAGTTAAAGCAATACTTAAAAATTACTCTCCAGAATCCCTTGATTATAAACTCTTATTTATTAAACATCTAAAATCTATAAACAACACAAAGTATTCCAAAAAAAAAAACAACAACCTTCAAGACAAAGAAAATTGGCATTTATTCAGTATTGGCTCTGTTTATGCAGCTGATCCAGATTTGAAAAGTACTGAATTTGATTAGAAAGCGGCAGACTACATCAAAAACAAAAATTTTTTTAAATTGAAATTGTTGGTATACAGATTTTAATGGCTTTTGTTACAGTAACTACCACATCATTATAACAGTAGAAATTTTAACCCATAGAGTATAAATAAAGTTGCTTTTTTAAGTCATGAGAACAAATCTTAAATTGAAAATCAAGTCTTTGATTTAAGGTCATTGTTGAGTATCAACACTACATCTAAGCACACATTACGAACCATTTCATGTTTGACAGTTAACATAACTCTCTCATCAGAGAACAGAATACTTGGAATGTTGATTAAAAGTGTATTATATTTTAAAATGGAGGGATTAAAAGTATAATTTTTTCAATAGAAAATATAATGTAAAATGGATGGAGTTACACTGACAAAAATTAATTTTTTTTCATTTTCTAAAATGTATACAAAAATGGCAGCAAAAAAAACATCAGATCTTAGAGAAGGCAAATAGTTTTTTCTTGAGATTATAAAAAAAGTACACAATATAAATTAATATCACAGAATAAGCAGAAGTACAAAGTACTCTCATAACTGATGTCAGTTTTTATCAAAATTAGTTGTAGAATTATTATTGTAGGAGGATAGTTTTTTTTTTAGTAAACAGAATGAATTGTTTAGAAAATGCCATGCACTTGGTGGCTAGTAGATTAAATAAATTTCTATTTATGCAAATATAAACAATGTATCATTAACCAATAAATACATAACATGAAAGTTAGAAAATAATCAAATAAATACAAATATTTTAGAAAAGTAGAAAGAACATAATTTATTGTTTACTCTGTGTATTCATTCAGTCTGTTTAAACAATCACACAAAAAGTTACATTAATCTGTCTACATACAAATCAATTGTAAAGTCTCTGTCTTGTACATACTTAGTTATTACTGTTTAACTTGTATTACATATTCTGCAAAATGTAGTATATTCTGGAATCTTCTATCTTAGGGATTATTGCCATCTATTTCAAGTGAATCTAAAACAACACAGATATATAAAATTACAGATAATTAAAGTAAAGTCAGTTGCATAAAACACAATGGTTGTATTAGGTATGTCAAACTGATTTTTTAAAATGGTCCGAGAGCTTCTTTGAAAGCTGCTATTTAAGAATTCAAAATTTTTCAACATCCTAAAAAGTGCCATGTTTGTAAGAGAATATATGACGCAAAAAACTCTATCTTTCGAACATAAAAAAAAATACTTTTCAATATCTCACTTATACCCGCCTAAAATTGTGAAAGCCTAAATTTGTGGAAAAAAAACCATTAGTCTATCAATGTGCAAAAAAAATTATTTTGTTGTTTTTGGTCGGAATTTGAGTCTCACAGGGTCCGCCCCAGCTTTAGGTAGCTCATTACGTGTTTTCCCAAATTTACTTGACAGATCAGTCGGGTGTGGGGGGCTGTTCTGTACATACATATACACTTATAATGATTCAGAAAGATTTAAATCAGTAAAATCCTCTCAGTGATAGTTTTCAATAAATTAGATATATTGTGTAATTTACTTTTTAATGGTACTAAGCTTATTACTATACAAACCCTTTTTATTAAAGAAAATATGAAACAAACAGCTATTTTTGGGCGACGCGGGCGAAAGCAGCATTTTTTTGGGCTGTTTGACATACCTTGTTGTATATTCTTAAATAAGGAAAAGGAATTAAGTGTATGTGACATACAAACAGAAATAATTTATTACCTGCAATCATCTGACCATTGCAATTAGATGACAAATTAGATCTTCGAAGTGAAACTTCCTCTTCTGACATTGGCCTAAGATCACGTTTGGATATTTTGACTGGAGATGATATGTTCTCATTTTGTATTACATTTTGTATTCTTGAAGTTGAAGATCTAGAAGATAAATTAAGTTGTGATGCTCTAGAAGAAGATGGTCGTGAAGAATAATCCTGCTCTGCACTACGGTTTGAGCTATCTCTGTGCCTACAATTACATATTGTAGTAACTAGTTAAATAATTTGTATAAAGCAGCTTTTAAATTCTATAATTTTAATGACTTAAATGGATTTCACAAAATATTAGATCCAGATCTATATATTATTTCTTTTATGTCTGTGTATCAAGATCAATCTAATATCTGTGTCTCTGTATGTTTGTGGAAGACTTGCATATAAAGAAAACTTGAAATTAAAATCTTTCACAGGCAAAGAAAATGACATCACATGAAACTCAGAAGAAATGATTGTATTAAGTCAGAAGAAAAGAAACTTTAGCCTATAAAGTTGAAACTCACAATAAGTACACAAAAAGAGTGGCATTAGTTGTAGATGATAGTCTAATAAAATAAGGTTCAACTGCTCATTAATTCTAGGTCTAGGTGAAGCGACTAAGTGTGAAGTCTAATATAAAAAGGGGTTAAAATTTCTGTTGAGAAAATTGATATTGGTCTGTATTATGTTTGTGTTCCTTTGTGTTTGGTTTTACATTTGTACTGTGTTCGTGTTTGCATTACGTTTGCATTTGTGGTTAGGCTTAAGTTAAGAGTTAGGTTTCCGGTTATGTGCGATTTTGGCAAACATCCATATTTGTATAAAGACATTTTATTGAAAAAGTAATATATTTTCTAAACCGGGGCAATGCTGGGTATACGCTGCTTAATAAAAACACAAGTCACAGTCCTTTACCAATAAGTTTTTCACAGATGCCAGTGCAGGGACGGCTAGTTTATGTATATATCAGCCAACCAGGCTCTGTACTGCCTTAGTGAAAAACTTACCTGTATAATAACCCTGACTGCTAGTTTATATACATAAATAAAAATAAATAAATATAAATATATATAAATAAATATGAATATATATTAATGAATTTGAATGTATATGAATATATATATAGTAATATTATAGGAATATTTATATAAATATATCTTAATATTTATAAAATATAGGCCTATATATCTTAATATTTATAAAATATATAAAAATAAATGTATATTATATATATATATATATATATATATGTGACATAGAAAGAAACAAATTAAGTATCACATAAATCACCTGTTGATGTAATTTCTGTTTGTACTACGATTCAGTTCTGCTGGATGTGAAGATGACTGATACTGATGGCTCTCCCTTGGGGTGGGTGTCTCTGAATCAACACTTTGCACAGAGCAACTGATCAAACCCACTTCTTCTGCGGCTGATTATTTTAAAAAGCCACACAATATATATATATATATATATATATATATATATATATATATATATATATATATATATATATATATATATATATATGTATGTGTATGTATGTGTATATATATGTATGTGTATATATATGTATGTGTATATATATGTATATATATGTATGTGTATATATATGTATATATATGTATGTGTATATATATATGTATGTGTGTATATATATATATATATAAGTAATGAGTTTTATTGAGTGTCCAACTCTAGAAGTTTTAGACAGGTTTTGTCGCGTAGAGTTGTTGCGTCTAGTTGAGGAGCTAGGACTAGAGGTTGATGTCTCGGATAGAGATAGAGTTCTACGAGATCATATTTGTGTTGAGTTGGTAAATACAGGTAGATTAGAGGAGGAGTGTCTAGACTCGATAGAATATTATGAGATCGGACGTATTAGGGTTGAAGAAATTGAGAGAAAGTTTCAAGTTAAGTTGTTAGAGATCGCGAGAGAAAAAGAGGATAAGTAGTTAGAGATCAGGAGGGATATATTCATGTCAGAATCTTGGAAGGAAATTGACATTAAAAGTTTAGAGAAACTGTTCGGACATGAAGTTAAACTATTAGAGATCAGGAGGGAACGGGATTTACTTAGGCTATGGGAGGAGGCGCAGCTTAGTGGGTTGTTTGACTTTCCAGAATCTGTCTCTGTTTTCTCTCAGGCTAGTGTAGTAGTTTCCGAGGATCGGTATAGAGATGAAGATAGTTTGTTGTCTGATAGAGTTGGTAGTGAGTTTTGTCAGTCTCAGACTAAGGCTGCCACTAGCTTTGGCTCAGTCCCTGAAGTCGACTCTAACCTAGCAGAATCAGCACAAACGTCAAAACGTGCTGATAGCTTACGAGTCGAGAGTTGTGTGCCGACGAGTACTGAAGGCATTCAGCAAGTTATTGGTTTGAATAAAATCACGGCGACCACTCTAATGTTGACCAGTCATGAAAAGGGGCTGTCAATATCTGACCCAGTGGATACAACCACCGCTGAAATCACGGTAACCACTCTGATGTTGGCCAGTCATGAAAAGGGGCTGTCAATATCTGACCCAGTGGATACAACCACCGCTGAAATCACGGTAACCACCGAGAGAGTGAATACCCATGAGAACAGGCTGTCCTCGTCTGAACCTGAACCAGTAACTGCATCTGATCAAGACCTTACTACTTGTGGTCTTGAAGGCGTCATGACCTTAACTGGAGGTCATGTGAATGGTGACCCACACCTTCGGTTAGACGAGTCAACGAATCTTTTGCCAGCATCAGTAACGGACGAAATCGTTACCCATTGTCTTGGAGGTGAGCCTAACACGGGCTGTCCTCCCATTATCACAGCAGTGTTTGATTTCTCCCCGACCAAGTCCAGCAACCTGGAGGCCATGACCTCACCTGGAGGTCACGTGGATGGTGTTCTACATCCCATGTTCGAGGAGACAATGAATCTATTGTCAGCGTCGGTGACGTGTGAAGTCGTTACCTCTTGTTTTGGAGTTGAGCCTAACTCAGGCTTCCCTCCCCTAACCTTGGAGGTGATTTACGGTTTTCTGACCGACCCGGTCAAGACCAACAACCCGGAGACGGTGACCTCAGCGGGTCACGCTATTCCCGCCAACCGAGGGTGTGTACATGCGAGCGCATACCCCATCGCTTTCACGGAGACGGGGCGTGTAATCGTTCCCTTTTTGTATGACTCGATGTTCAGGATTAACATCGTGTCAAAACATGGCTACATTGCAAGCAGTACTGTGAAACCACGCCTTATGGGCGAGTTGTTGTTGTTGTGGACGGACAATAACTCCGTCACTAAAATTGTGCTGCGCCGGTATAAAGTTCGGCTTAAGTTTTATGTTTACGGACTCATGATGACCCGAAAGACGGAAAACTAATTTGTGTTTCAAACCTATTAGAACTGTTCCCAAGATAGACTGTTTCATGTTTTCCCAGGATGCAAGTGTTCTAATCAAAATGAACTGTTTTCAGGCTTAAAGAATGTACCCTTATACATGTCTTGTTTGAAAAAAAAGTGTTATTGATGTTTTACATGATGATGAATTGTATTGACAGGTTTTGTTGACTGATGACGTAACTATCAGTAAAACGAAGACTGTTTTTTTCAACATTAAGATTATTTGCGACAGTGACACATGTGTTGCAGATTTGCGGTTTTATTTACTTTGATGTCTAAGTTTGATGACATTATGTTTGGGGTATCTAGTCAAACTTGATATTGTGACTAAATCATCCACGTTTCTTATCTTTTTGATGATGATGATGTTAAACTGTTTTAGTCCTATTTAGGTTTATTCTGGGACTTTTGAGGAGTTGTGAGATTGGGGTGGTGGTCTAAATGATATTCAATTAATTCCCCTTGCGGTGAATTAATTTCTCGAAGGGAGGAGGTGTTACGACCACCTGATGTTTGACCTGGGCTGACCCGTATGTTGGGGTAGCGATCTCACGCTCATCCATCAACCTGGCGGTGGTCAGAGGCTGACCAGTGCTGGCCGTGTGAACCTTTGGGCCGTGACGGCCATACCGGATTGGGTTCCACGCTGTGGGCGGCGCATACCTGGTGTCTTGGGGTCCCAGCTATTAACGTGGCCAACAGCTCGTGATTTACGGCTGGGAAAACCTTCCAGATCGCACAGGGCCGAGTGGACGGTCATGGACGGATCTGACCTAGGGTCAGCTATAATTAAAATCGTTCCCACGGTGAAGAACGGGGGACGAGTACTTTAGGAGGGTAGACAGCAGACACTCGGGACACACACACGGAGACGGACGGACACGTCTCGGATAGCTAGGTCTAGAGGAGACAGACATGGGGCGTCTCTGTGAGCTAGTGGACAGCCAAGAGATGCCTGTACTGTAGTAGACCTAGGCTAGATAGACAGTTAGGGACAAGTAGGGTAGCCGTACCAAGAACTTTAATTGTCGTAGCTAGTTGTGTGTATATTTCTGATTGTTGTACTTCGGTGGCGGGTTAACTTTAAGTGTGTAATTTGTGGCAAATAAATAGAGATTACTGAAGTTGGCTTTTATCTATATATATAATTCTCTTCTTCGAGCCGTTAGAAAACAAGCTGCAAACGCGCTCCCTACCTCCCCACCCCTACATGGTTTTAGTGAGCTGTGTTCACTCTAAATGTTTACAAGCAGAGCCAACGATTTTAAAAGTAGGGGGGGGAGGGGGGAAGGAAGGGGGGGGGGTTATGGTCCTTAACGAGCTACTTAGTGTTTTAAAGAAATATTTTCAGTGTCAGCGTTGGTACTGTCGAATTCTCAAATTATGAATTACTGAAAATTAGAAACAACTAAATAGCGGCGTATGTTATGCCGCGGGCCGGCTCGTTTATTTTTATTTTTCTTCTTCTTGTTTACGATTCCCTGACTAGTTCGAAAGGATTAGAAAAGAGGGAGTCGTAACAATATATATGTATGTGTATATATATATATATGTATGTATATATATATATATATATATATATATATATATATATATATATATATATATATATATGTATGTGTATATATATATGTATGTGTATATATATATATATGTATGTGTGTATATATATATATATGTATGTGTATATATATATATATATGTATGTGTATATATATATATGTATGTGTATATATATGTATGTGTATATATATATGTATGTGTATATATATATGTATGTGTATATATATATGTATGTGTATATATATATGTATGTGTATATATATATGTATGTGTATTTATATATGTATGTGTATTTATATATGTATGTGTATATATGTATGTGTATATACATATGTATAGGTACTTGTATATATATATGTATAGGTATGTGTATATATATATATATATATAGGTATGTGTATATATATATGTATAGGTATATATATATGTATGTGTATGTATATATATATGTATGTGTATGTATATATATATATGTATGTGTATGTATATATATATGTATGTGTATGTATATATATATGTATGTGTATGTATATATATATGTATGTGTATGTATATATATATGTATGTATATATATGTATGTGTATGTATATATATATATATATATATATATATATATATATATATATATATATATATATATATATATATATATATATATATGAAACTGGGAAGTTGTTGTGGATATTCCTGGGGATGTGTCTGCGGAAAAAAATATTTCAAATTCGCAGGGGTGGCGCCCCGACAGGGCACAATTTGTTTTTGCTCTATGTATGGTATATAAAAATAAAAGTCGATTTTGGTTTGACATTATTCACCCGATAGCCATGAGACTTTTGGGAGTTCATTAGAACACTCTAGGGAAGGGTTCTGTAAACAATTTTTTTTTAAATTTTGCAAGGGCGGCGCCTCGGGAGGGTTCGATTTTTCTCTACATGTGGTATATAAAAATAATAAAAGTGATTGCATCAGTGACACTGTTCACACGATCGCTATGAAACTTTGGGAAGATGTTGAGAATATTGCTGGGGAGGTGTCTGTGCAAAAATAATTTTAATTTCAAGGGCGGCGATTTTTCACTATATACGGTAAATAAAAATTAACGTCGATTGCAGTTTCACAGCATTAATCCGATCGCCCGCCATCAAACTTTGGGGAGTTGATTAGAACACTACCTGGAAGGGTTCTGCAAAAAAATTTTTTTTTTAATTTTGCAAGGGCGGAGCAAGGGCGGAGCCACGGGAGGGTGCGATTTTTCACTATATACGGTATATAAAAAATAAAAGTCGATTGCAGTTTTAGCCCATCATCCTATCGCCATCAAATTTTGGTGAGTTCACTAGAACACTGTTGGGAAGGGTTTTTGTAAAAAAAAAAATCATTTTTAATTTTGCAAGGGCGGCGCCACGGGAGGGTGCGATTTTTCTCTATGTACTGTATATAAAAAGAAAAGTCAGACTTGGTTCGACATCTATCATCTGAGTATCAT